AGAGGATATGAGCTGGATTCACACCAGTAACATTGTGAGTACATGGTATGTGTGTTGGCCCACTGAGGCAGCCGCAGGAAGTTTGGATCTGTGGTTTGTTTTTATCGGGGCAGCACGGCTGGGAGGAACTCAGCTGCTGGGAAATTACCACAAACAGAATTAGAGGAGGGGAGGAGGGGAGGGGTGGGGCCGGTTGAATTATTGAAGAAAGTCAGATGGACGGCTCGGGCTGAACACTTCTCTATAAAACATCACATCTGCATGGAAAACTGTGCCTCATCTGTACCTGTTTAAAGTTGCCTCCTCTGAAGAGTACAGACACTTTATCACAACATCCTAACATTTGGGTTATAATGTTTTGTATGTTATCTTATAACATGTTTAAGTTTTGGATGCAACATAGTTATCAAATGTTGTTAGCATGTAAACAAGATAACTTTTAGTATGTAACTTCTTAGTTTGTCAGCTTAAACACCGTCCCACCACAGCTGCCAGTGTGGCTACAAATCTGAATGGTTATTTCAATTAAACTTGAAATATTTATTCGCAGGGAGTTTCTTTGATTAAGACCAACAGTGAATTTGTTTGGGTATTAAATGCACTGAATTTAGGATAAATGTTTGCTATAAATATACTAGCATGTCAGAGAGTGTGACATATATGTAAGACTTTTAAATGTTTCATTTAAAGAATAACTTAACATTAAACATCGTTGTTTTGCAGTGACGTACAGGTGCACTCCAGGACGCAGTGACATCACTGCTGGGTGTGGTTACAGGTACAGAGCAGATTTCTGACCAATGACATGAAAAGTTTGAAACAACTTTATGTTTATTACAGCAAAACTTTTAGCATACAACTGTATTTTTTACATCTTCCCTCGTTATTTGTGCTTCTTTCTTTCCCTGTGCTGCTGCAACACCTGAATTTCCCCTCTGCGCTTATCTTATCATATCAAATTACATAAATGGGCCACCTGAACGATTGAAGGCTGTTGTTATCTGCTGCACAACGTTATTAGTCTCTGTCAAAGCTTGCTGTACCTATACCATCATGTGTCACATATATGTCAAATAGTTATTAGCTGAATGCTTTTAGATTCACCAGATTATTGAGGTGCACCACACCAGGAACAGTTCAGTAATTCCACCGTATGGGTCAGCCAAAGTAATTGACTTCCAGAGGATAACACTGCAAAAAAAAACAACCTTACAACCAATAATAGGGTATCTACTCTCCCGGCATTGATATCAGCCTCTTTTTTCCCACAAGATTACCTTCATGGCAATCTCCTGAAAATGTTTCCGGCCACACAAAAAGCTAATTCTCCACGATTCCCCTGTGCTGCCAACGGTGACATTGTATTTAAAAAGGTCAAACGGTACAAATAAACGTCCTTGGAGGAGTAACAACAACAAGTAAAAAAACAGAAGTAGATTATAAAAAGACAATCCCCATGCCCGTCCAATCAGTAACACTAACTAACCTCTGACCTCTGTGGTTATTCTTGGTGAGCCCCATGTTGCTGCCCTCCGATTCACACGCAGATTGACTCCACCGCTATCACACAATGGGGGTCAATCAGGATCAGCTAAATGCTAACAGACAATACAAGTCAGCGGGGAGGGTTAATGACTTTCGATCTGGCGGCTCAATGCCCGGTTCAAACTACAAAAGGCACTTTTTACTTGTGTTTTTATAAGATATTGCAGTAGAATAAGTGTGACAGGCGCAGGGTCATTGTGTGGGTTATCTGCAGTGTAATATTTTGTCTGGTAATCAGTGAATATTACAGCGCTATTGTTGATGTGACTTGCCAGCTCTGACTAATGTTTGTGTTTTTTAGACTACTATTTTTAATCATTTAGGACCAGGGGTTTTTGCAAATGCCCAAAACTGACACACTCTCGACCGCTCACTGAGAGAGAAAGATAAAGTCGATTTGATTGAAAATAAACACTTCCAGCAAAATATTTAAAACAAAATCAAACCAAGACGATTTTGTTTGGATTGATTTCAGTGAGATTTGAGCAGATAAAACAAACTGAAAACTTTTTGAAGTGGCTGTTTTTTTGGACATTTGTTATTCGATGAACATGTGTTAGGTTAAGCACACACATTTAAAATGCAGCAGAGAAAACAAATAAGCATTTATTTTTACTTCTACTTGAGTCTTCATAAATGAAAGCACTTCACTTCCTAACTGGTAGTTTCCCCTATTTGAGTAACACACTTGTTTCCTCCGCACTGACGGCTAATTTATCATACAATGAAACACAAAAATGTTATAAAACAGGCCGGCGCTTTATCCGACTGTAATGAATGTGTGCATTCATGTGGTCTTGTCTACAGTAGAGCAGAAGGGTGGGCAAACACACACACACACACACACACACACACACACACACACACACACACACACACACACACACACAGAGAGAAAAGGGTACAAAGGTAGTTTTTGTTCCCCGTGTCGCTGGAACTTCAGCTTTGCTTGGTCATCATGGATAAATGCCCCTCTTATCGAGCACAACGGGCACAGACAGAGCACACACACACACACACACACACACACACACACACACACACACACACACACACACACACACACACACACACACATTAGTGTAAAGTTGTGTAGTGCTACAACTTGAGCAGAAAACGACCTTCAAAGTAGATCTGTATTAGCTACCAAATGGGGGAAAAAGAAGCCAATAAACACTTATTTTTAAATTAGGAAAAGCCATTACGGTTGTTTTTACTTTCATTTTTGATTTCAACGAGAAAATTGTGCGTGTGTGTGTGAGTGAGTGTGTCCTCATCATCTGTGGCAGCTGCCCGCACTGATAGTTGCTTTGTTTTCAGTGAGTACTTCTTAATGAGGTCAAAGGCTATTTAGGGCCATTGGACGCCGACGAGGAGAAACAAGAGGTACCTTTATCACGGTCCACACACACGCACACACACACATATACACACACACAGGCACACACACACACACACACACACACACACACACACACACACACACACACACACACACACACACAGCTATTCATTACATTTGACCAAGACAAGGTCCAAAAATCAGTTGCCGGAGAAAGACACTCATTGTGTGTGTCGAGTACGGGAGTAAGAAAGGCAGATGGGTCTACTGGTTTCTATTAAGAGAGAGAGAGGACGGGTCTATTTGATTTACCAGTTAGCATAATGGGAAAATGAGTATAAGTGATCACACGTCCTCTCTTTTAAAAACATAAATTACTGGGATATTTTCCTTCCTCGCGACAGTAAAAGAGTTTTTCGCTCTGGTCTCAGACGGTACATTCGTTTACATTCACGCTGTGACCCAACTGCGGCGAATAAGCAGATTAAGTTCCACTTAAAGTGTTTACACGATTCACAGAGACCTGATTCTTGTAATAACCAGAGGTCTACATGTTGTGTTAGATAATCCTGTTAATGGTGGCCTCCAGGAAACATCCTTAATAACATCATAAAACAAGAGAAGGAAAATGAACGCGTTTATTTGATTTATTAGTTGCGTCGGTTCGATTATCTGGTACGTACGCAACACTGAAAGTAACCAGACTACATTGTGTTTTCTTGTTACGGTAATTCAGAACATTGATAATTGAGTTACGCTTGACTGAGGCTTTATTTCAGCCAGTTCAATCCTTCTAGGGTCTTTACATGTGTATTCACTTAGTCTGGCAATAAACAAATCATTAAAATACAACCAAAAGTACCAAACTAGAGTTACAGATCATTGTTATATAGTTATACAATGTTAATCTTTATCTTAGAATTAGTAAGTAATGAGTAAATAACTCTTATTGTTTAGTGTCAGTTCATAGCTCTCATGTCAAAACAGATGATAGTAAGTTTCCTTTTTACCTAAAACATTTATAACACAGTTATAATGTGAGATCTTAAACATTAAATAATATTAGAAAAATGTTTTAAATAACTATAAGATTTTGCACTAGTTAAAACATAAAAATAAGTTATTTGGTTTAATGTAATAAACATGTTTTTTTACCACCTTATTTTAAAAGCTTTATACTTAAAATACTCTAAACTCCAGGTTTAATTTTAGCTTTTTCCCGAGCTTTTGAACGCATCTCACAACCTTCTTCAGCCAATTAAACTTGCTCAGGTATCATCAAAGTAAAGACACAGATATCACATACCTCTAAAAAAAAGACCACGAGATATAGTTGAAAGATGTGGAAAAAGTAAGTGAAGTTGAGTTTATTCTCTTCTATTCAAAGGGGAAGAGTGAATTTCCATGCTGCACTTATATAACACCCATTCACCCATTCACACACTGATGGCAGAGGCTGTGCAAGAAACTACTTCACCCACACACCGACAGCAGACCACTGGGGTTCAGTATCTTGCTCGAGGGCACTTCGGCATGCAGCGGGAGGAGCCGGGGATCGACCCGCCAAACCTTCTGATTAGTGGACGACAAACACTAACAACGAACAAGAGAACCTGACACCGATATGTAGGTAAATAAACAACTAACGCAACACGTCTTTAAAAGAACAAGTTTCACTCATCAGAATTTAAATCTCTCTCCTTAATTCTGAAGAAGATGGAAAGAGAGGAGCCTGTGTTAGATGAGGCAGACTGAGAGGAATTGTCAACACTAGTACCCTTCTCTCTCTCTCTCTCACACTCATACACACGGTCTGAGTCACCTGTAGACAAACCCCTTTATTGAGAAGCAGGCGGCCATCTTTGATTAGATGAGAGTGACTCAGCAGACAGTGAACACAAGGGGGGGGTGTGTTTGTGTGTTGGCCTGTGATTTTGTGTGAGAGTACAATGAATGAGCGCGTTTGTGTTCATGTGGGAATATGTGAATGTTGTGTGACTGTGGCTATAAGAGAGAGACTGTGTGTGTGTGTGTGTGTGTGTGTGTGTGTGTGTGTGTGTGTGTGTGTGTGTGTGTGTGTGTGTGTGTGTGTGTGTGTGTGATGTTGTCATACCTCGTGGTCTGGTATCTCAGAGGAAAGAGTCTTTCCCAACACTGCTGCCGTCAGGTAGGTCCAACAACGAGCCGTATTAGCCAGGTTATAACCTCCTGGTGGGAAAGAGGGAGACAGAGACAGATATAAAGAGGAAACGTCCACTGCAGACACGTTTTAAAGTATGTAAAGATCCTCTACTATGATTAATATATTGATTAACATGGTTTTCTCACATAAAAAGTATAAAAAAACCCTCTGAAAATGGGCTGGAAACACATCTGATCTTTCTCCCTCATTGAGAAATTCTGCTTCTTCAAGACGGCTAGCATTATAGGAAACATCCTCCATCACTCCCAGACTCAGATGAGGAGTCTGTTCAGTCTGTTTTACACCAAAATCAGTAACTAACATACATATCAGAGTGGTAAGTGTAGTTCGCATCTCTTATTTGTTTATGTTGGTTGTTAGCTTGCTTGCTAGACTTCGACTTTGTCCTCACTTTATTGATCCCTTTGGGATGACTCCCTCAAGGAAATTGAATTTCCAGCAGCTTACAGAACACTTGTATAGAAAATAAAAGGAGGTATAAAAAAAATACAGTATAAGATAGACAATAAACTCTTAGCTAAATATAGAAAGTAGAGATAAAAATAGAAGTAAAGTAAAATTCAAATCAAATAAATGTAGGGAACTGTATAGAGGATAAATATAGATAAATATAAACTGTATATGGCATTGTGTTATTATACAGTGGATAAATGACATTAGCAGAAATTAGCAGTTAAATTAAATTATTGCACTTAAGCGGTGGATTAAGTTATTGCACAAAAAAGAAGGAAAGAGTGTCCAGGTATGTATGTGAGTAGATTTATTTTGTGGTCACATCCTGCCAAAGTTCATCTGACAACTGCTAACTACCCAAAAAGTTGTCAAGAAGCGAGAAAAATAAGTTTATCTCAATGAATCCAGTCACTCCGAAGGACAAATAAACAGGAACGCTGCGAGACATGATGTCAAAAAGAGAAATATGTGGAGAAAAAGAGCTGAAATAAAAGGGAAAAATAAGTGTTTTCAAATTTAGCCACAGACTAAATCTCTGACTCACCACAACAAACTACAGGCTGTCAAGACGGCTCTCTCTCACACACACACACACACACACACACACAAGACAAATGGAAAAAGAAAGAGTGAAGGATGAAGACGATGGACTTGAGTGAAATTAGGAGACAGACAAGAACCAAGAAAGAGAGGAGGATATAACTGAGAGAAAAGTATGTAGGACAGAGAGGGAGGGAGAGAAAGGAAGAGAGGTGGGATTGTAGTTGAATAAAATGGCTTCATTGTGTTGTATAAGTAGTAGCTATCATCTGGCCAAGGGCTGAGGGGTCTGGAACATAGCATGGTGTGTGTGTGTGTGTGTGTGTGTGTGTGTGTGTGTGTGTGTGTGTGTGTGTGTAAAATTGTGCACAAGTGAGTGAATCACTGAGATTTAAAGCAAATACAAACACACACACACACAAATCATGGTACATTATTGATCTTTCATTATATCTCAGGACACCAAGAACACATATGCACACACACACACACACACACACACACACACACACACACACACACACACACACACACACGAAAACACAACATCAGCCAGAATAATAAACACACACATGCAGCGTACCTCCTCCCAGCAGCAGGGTAGGTAGCTGCCACCCCAAGACATACTGCAGACACTTGCCCACCCCCACTGGGGTCATGTTGAAGGAGCACATGGGGTCGCCCGCCATGGTGTCGGCGCCAAGTTGCATCACCATCGCCTCCGGGTTGAACTGTGCCCGCACTTCCTGCATCACGCTGCCAAAAACATGACAACTGTGAACGTGTTGTTACTGGCCGGGCCTATCAGGAGTCGGTATGTTTTAACTGTAATAACAGAGTTTAATAGTGTACGTTTCATCAACATCTGACCAGCTACTGTGGACCCTGTTCCTCCAATCAGATGGGTTGAAACACTGATCTATGGTCGGTTCCTCCAATCAAAAGTCTGTAGTGTGTTCCACCACTCAGAAATGAATTTATGAACTGTAGAGTCGTTCTAATCTCAGCTAGTAGTAAATAAAGAGCAGGAGCTACGATGGCTGAACGTTGAACTATCATGAACTGCAGCTCCAGTAATAGCCACTAGTTGGTGGCTCCGAAACACAACTGGGTCTTGGAAAATCTACTTCAATAATTAGTCTTTTCTACAAAATCTCAAACATAAATCCAAGTCTTTTATTAATGCGTTTCTTAGTGTTGATTTTGACATTTATAACAAAAAGATATGAAGTATTACAGAGGAGTATGTTTATGTGTATCTTGATTGGCAGGTCCACACAGATTTATTCTCCTTTGCCCAAAAATAAATGATATGATATGATATATCTAAATAGCAGTGAAACAAACTCCATGTTCCTCTTATGTCACAGATTATACTTTATTATACCTTCATTAGTTATAACTAAACTCTTGAATGCTTGGTGAAACTGCAGTTTATATTTTGGGGTCTCCTGTGTAGCATTATACAGATACACTTACAATTTAAAAACAAAAAGAGTCTTAACGCTGTGATTTTCTTTTTTTAGCGGCAGTAGATTTGCACATAAACGAGAAAATCATTCAACAAGTTGCCTCATTTTGGGAAGGAATCCCCCGGCTGAAGTGGCCTTGATAAAAAGCTGAAACTGCACTAGCTCCGAGGCACTGCTCTGTGGACGACCCTGACCTCTGACCTCTGGGTGGGATATGGTCATGAGAGGGAAGGGAAAATAGCATATCTCCTCTGAGATCCTTGAGAAAAACATGCCATCATAGTTGGCTCTGAGCAGCATAAGACTTCCCCCTCTGTGTGTGTGTGTGTGTGTGTGTGTGTGTGTGTGTGTGTACCTGGTAAAAATCTGGTAGTATCTGTCATCTTTGATGCCGTCCTCCAGCGGGACGTTTACGGCGTACCAACGACCTTTACCCAGCCCTGTGTCACACAGGTCGCCCGTACCTACATACATATATATATAAACACACTTATTTTAAACTGTCTCACAAACACGAGTTATGATATTAAATGTTGTATCTTAAACACGTCGACCTGGGAAGAATCCAGGAGAGAACTTGTGCAGAGAAACGGTCATGACTTTGGATGTGAAGCTGAAGGCATCTTCCACACCTGCAGTGAGAGGAGGAAGACAAAAAGGCACAACTGAGTGCATTATGATGATCTTTTTTTAATTATAACTGGATTTCAGCCTCATAATAAATATGATAAACAAACAAAAGACGGTTATTCCTAATTAAACCTTGTCTGTGAGTCCAACATCCCTCTAAAAACAGAACAATATCAGTGGGTTTTATTGTGTCACCATCTCCGTGATGCAGGTCAACGTCCACATAGAGGACTCTCTCGTATTTCTCCCTCAGTCTGAGGATTCCCAACACGGCATCGTTCACGTAGCAGAACCCAGACGCCTCATCCCTGGGAGACAGAGAAAAGGGGGGAAACAAAACGGTAAGGTCTGACAGTCTGACCTTTGCCTGGAGCGCCCCCGTCAGGCCCATCACAGGAACTGACGAGGACGGCTGGAGGAGCCTTAACTTGATTGAACTCGGTGGTATTTAATGTTCGGAGTATTGTGAGATTTCATGTATCAAAAAAGTGACTTCAAATTGTATTCCACATATTCTGATATTATTATCACAGAGAAATGGGGGATACATTCCTGTATTTGTCTGGTTGTGCATACAGCTCGTGTAACATTATACTTCTTGTGTGAACAGGTTGACTTACTTCTTGGCATGGTGCCACCCCCCCGCCCAGTTGATGGCCACGTCACACTTTTGGTCCAGGAGACACTGGGCTGCTGTCAGTGTAGCGCCCCCTACTGCTGCCGCGTAGTCAAATATCCCCTCCACCACTGGGCAGTCATAACCTGGAGGGAGAGACACACAAAAAACTGATTGAAATACAATAATAATGTAATATATACAGTAGATAATCAATGGGTGGTGATGACAGTACATGTTATTTACTATTTCCTACAAAACTGCAAATGAACATAAATAAACAGGAACCTTTTAACAAATAAAACTCTGGCAGCACTAGTGGAAAATATATTTATTCCTCTTGAAACATCTTTAACTTTTATTCAAATCGTTTCTGCACTTTATCATAGAAGAAGTTAGTAAGAAAAACTGATGAAAATAATCAGGAAGCACAGGAAGAAATGAGATAAAGAAAGGAGAAATGGAAAAGAAGAGGAAGGGAGGATGGGAGAAATGAGGGAGGAGAAGGGGAGCGTGGCGTTAAAATAAACTGAAGGGACAAAGGAGAGAGACGGCAGGAAAAAGGCGGAGCGGTTTGTTTTTGTGGCGAGACGGAAGGATGAACCAGAGAGAGGTGTGCAGAACACAAAGGGAGGAAGCAACGGAGCGATGAGTCGAGGACATTAAGGAGCAAAAAAAGGGTGGATGAGGGTGAATGAAAGAAGGGAGGGAGACAAGATAGGGAGGGAGTGAACGGATATAAAAACAAGGAGGGTGAACTTGACGATTAGACTAAAGTTAATAAACCTCGGAGATGGATGGACGTAGAGCGGGGTCGAATCACGGTCGGCTCTTCATCCCAACGATGTGTGAAGAACGGCAAAGTTATTATCTTTTAATTTAGGGCTTTAGGAAAGAAAAGTACTCCTTTAAAAATAAACTAAATTACATTCAATTACATTTAAAAACTGCGTTACTCTTGTGTAATCTTGTGTTATAGTGCCCCCTGCTGCTGATAAACAAGTACTGTAGATAACTTCTGAAAGAGTCTTCTCCACCCAGCCGATAAACAGATTTCATTCTGATTATCGGTCCAATTCTTTGTCTGTTCCCTTTGATTGATTCCTCATCGATTTTCTGTGTGGAAAGAAGTCGGCCTACACAGGTTACATCAACGCAACTGTTTTATTTCTGAATCCACGTTTGGATCATTTGGAACCGGCTCTCCACTGGATTTTCCATATTATGCTGTAATGAACACTGGCTAGATAAAAAAAACATTGGCAGTAAAATCCGCCTGTAGTGAACAAGAAGGATCACCCACCGTGATTCTGAGACAATAAATGTGTCTATGAATGTCCCTGTTCTGTTGTAACCTGAGTTCTTCTGCAGTTCAGGATAAAACAGGAACAGTGGAACATTATCTTAGGTTCTCTCTTGGCTTTCCTCACCCAGGCCGTAGTCGACCGACTGGGGGTCGTCGTTGTCTCCGTCCTGGCTGATCTTGTGAAGATGCTCCAGGTAAGAGTCTGTGTGGAACTTGGCCATTTCCTCTATGGTGGCCAGCTGAGGTTTTATGGTGCTGGACAGAAAGAGGAAAAAGAAATTTAAAAAAAAAAACAATACACTGCTCGCACAGAGTACTTGTTGTACTCGTTGTGCACCGAGCTGTCAAATAAAACTTGCGTACGTGGATAAAACCCGTACAGATGATTCATGGGAGTCGTTGACCCGGTGAGACAACTTTTGGATGAGGAACGACTGAGTGTAAAATATTGGCACCACGCGGCGAGCAGTAAAAGAAAATGCCAAATGCACAAAACCTGCTGTGCGAATCTAAAATAAATCAACAGACGAAATACTTGCACAGATTCACTGCGAGTGGAAACTGAGAGGGGTGGAAAATACCACCATCATCATCCTCTGTTTCCATAAAGTGGATGGGAGGTGTTTGCCAAAGGTGCAAAGCAAACACAGTTTATGTATGGCTGCGTAAATAATAAAACATATTATCCAAATTCAAAACACAGAAGCTGCGATTCGTTTATTAAAGGTAACGCGTGAGTGAGAGGAAACAGCTTTATAATGAAGTACTGTGGTGCTGCTGGGATACATCGCCTACAAGTCTTCTTTTATAAATGTAATAAAACATGTTTGTCTGCTAGAGACTCCAGCAAATGTCCCATAATCGTGATTTTAGACGTTTTTTTCGGTGACAATTAAAACTGTGACACAAAAAAATGATAATTATTTTGGGAACCAGACAGGTATTGAGTGTGAGTATTTTTACCGTATCGTGCAGCCCTGTTTTTATGGAATAATCTAATAAAATTACATCAACAATGGCATCAAATCAAAGAGAAACACCATCTTATTGTGCTGGAAGTGAGACTCATAACCAAATCAATCTAAAATGACCTGAAATATCTTTAATAATCTTTGAATAGGAGCGTATACAGTACAATCACCCAGCTGTACAACACGACCACGATGCATTACAATACACATAAAACACTACGACACACAGCGAGACACTATCTGAGTGCAGGTTTCTTTAAAAGTATAAACTAAATCTCACTTTTTTAAAAGCCATCATTTTCCAGCATTGACACATTTTGCCCCCCCAATCTGAAGTGTCCCAGGGTCCACTGCAGGTATGTGGTTAGTATTTATGTTGCCTTGCTCTCCACTGTTCCCACAGCTGATATTTCTGCAGCGCCTCCAGTGATTTAACTACAGTTTAACTACAGTTCACTGCAGTTTTCCAGGACAACAAGGACCTATTTCCAGGATATTTGCTCCCTCCAGGTTAAATAATCTTAAACAGTGCAGCAGGGAGACACTCAGCTACATAAACACACAGCTCCTGCAATGCATGTGAAGCTATTTCCTCACCCCCCCCTACTTATGTAATCTCTGTTTTAACATTAATAAACATTAATAAACATTAATAAACATTAACACAACTCACCTCATGTGTTTCAGGAGTCCATAGGCTTCAATCAGTGAGTGGACCATACTCGCCTGGAAATGAACACGGTAGAAAATATTTTTAAAAACAAAAGAGTGGACAATAACAACAAACAAACAAACAAACAAACAAACAAGAAGTAAGCTTTTTAACGAGGCTCCTCATTCAGAGTGAACTCACCCGGTTCGGTACTTTGGATAAAGAGTCGCAGGTCTCGATGTACTCCGGGCTGTACACGTACGCCACCCTCCGTTTACTGCAGCAGTCATCGTCGCTGTCTCCTCTGCGACTCATTGACGGATTTTAAAAATGTGAAGGATTTTAACGGAGAATTAAAAAATAAAAAAAGCACAAATTGACAAGAGGCGAGAGATGCGAGCGGCGGTTGCTTCTTCTTCTTCTTTCTAACGTCTGGTGTTACGCCGTCAACAGTCCGTAACCAGCCCGGTAAAGTCGGTTCACCTCTCGGTTGGCGCGACGGTGATAAATAATAACGTATATAAAAATAAATATAAACACAAAACAGCGATTTTATCTGGTTTAAAACGAGAGTTTAACGACGGGTGACACACAGAGAGCGGCTTCATAACGGTTACTAACGTTCCGCGCGCGGACGTTATTTTAGAGTGGAACGCAGGCGGAGCGAAAAGCATTCTGGGATTTGTTGTAGTCTTTTCGCCATATTCTGAAGTGACCTTAGCTAACGTGTTTAAAAAAGAGTTTGAGACGAGTTTTTAGATTAATTATTTAACTTTTATAATATATACATATATATATAAACTTTATTTATTCCAAACACAATCACAACACCATAAAAATAAATAAAATAAAAAGTGTGCAAGGCTAAAAAAATCAATACAATAAAAACAATAAATGTTAAAAATAAGTGAATATAAAAAATAAACACCAGGGAGACAAATAATAAAAAACTAAGGCTTTACTCCAAAGTAAAAGCCGGATTAAAAAGATAGGTGTTTAATTTAAATATCCACCTTTTTTTTTTTACTGTATTTTACATTAAAATGCAAAGAATATAACAACACTTGTTGAGCAATTATAACAAAGCCAATAAATAGTTAACTAACCCTATAGCGAGCCAAGGAGAGAGAGGAGCTTCTACTCAGGACAACTCTTACTGGTTAAACCCTTAAAAGTCCATAGATCCACAGAAGCACCCACAGTAAGTGATATATATATATATATTATATATTATATATGGACCTTTAATGTAAAGTCAATGCTTTTCGTTAGAGGGCGACAGAAACAGCTGTTTGTACTTGAACTAAAATTCCCTCACTGACACACAAAAGCCAAAAATGAAATGTTATTGTCTTATTTATCCCTGTCCACATTTAATGCTGAAACATGACACCGCATACAGCACTGATTAAACTGTATATGTGCTTTAATTGTTGGTGCACAAGTGTTTTCTACTGCTTTTTCCTCAATTTGCTTCCTGGTCGAAGCATCTACCACAAAGGCTGTTCAGGTGTTTCTGCTCATTACTTTTAATTGTTAATTAAATGTGATTTTTTTAAAAGATATTTAGCAACAATGAACACTTTAGGTTTATGACTTTAATCCTCAGCCAGTACTTTCTCTGCCATTCAACTCCATTCACTTGTGTCAAGTTATATACAACAAGGAAAAGCATTTCCGGTTCAAAAGATTCAAACTAAAACATTCAAAGACTTCAAGTTAAGTCGTGTGGTTTTATGTGGCAGGATAATAAAAGGTTTAGACTATGTTGTGGCTTTCTGGGGTATATTTTCTGATATATTTGGATATATTCTGATCTAAAGTTAAAGATTTTGGGCTGTCGGTGTTGATTGCAAGAATAAAAGTGTCATTTTTTAAAGTGAATTAGTGATGAATCACCCTGGTGCACAAATCATACATCAATAATAAGTTTACACATTATCCAGAAATAGAAATACATGGCAAAAAATAGCATATTGTAAGTTTAAAAAATATATATTATTTCGCTTTCTCCTGCGATTTAATTGAAAAAACATCTCAACGTGTAATTTGAAAGAAAGAAAGAAATTTTAAGTTACAACAACCTCAAAAAAGCCTGAAATGTCTTATTAATTATTATTATTATTATTATTAAATATTGATTTAATTATTAATCACACCCTGTGAAACACTGGCTCAGTGCAGTGTAGAGAGAGTATGTGAGGGAGCATGTTTTGTTTTGTTTTTTAATTTCTTTCTCCTCGTGAGTTTATTTTGTTTCTTATTTATACCTGCAGTTTGAATGTGTTTTTAATGTTTCCATGTTATTGATCTTATAAATCACCCTATTTTTTTTTTTTTTTAATGTTGTATTTTACGTGTGTATTGTCCAAGTGTTTCTATTTGTTTGGTATTGTGTGTTTTTTAAAAAAGAAGAACTTTGTCGCCCCATTATTATTATTTTATTTGAATGTTTCATATTTAAGTTTTATGTGGCAAGATGATAAAAGGTTGGGAACAACCAGTGTGCGAACTAAACCATATACTGTCAATGACTATCTGATATTTTGTGATCTGTAGTTAATTTGATTAATTTTTTTGGGGTTTTTTTTTAATTTTTCTCCTCATGAGTTTATTTTGTTTCTTATTTACCCTTAAAGTTTAAATTAATTACTATCTAATTTTTTTAATGTTCCCATATGTTATTACTCTTACATTACTATGTTTCACGTTGTATTTTAAGTATATATTGTCCAAGTGTTCCTATTATGTGATAAAAAAATAAAAATAAAAAAAAAGTTTTCCTCACCAAACTTTTATTTTGAAGTCCTCGCCTCCTGACTTCCCGCGCTGTTCCTGCTTCCTGTCAACAAACTTACCGCAGCTTCAGGTTTCAACCCTCTCCGGAGCTCCTGAAAGACAAACGGAGGGTGCAGCAGCTTCTCTGGTCGCCTGTGAACTCTCTCCTCTCCCTCTCGGCTCCTTTTGGACGACCGAAGAAAGACATGACTTCACAGCGGAGGATTTATTAGCTCTGGTTGTCGTTGAAACTCTTTAAAAAATAAAATAAAAAACCCACCTGAACCTGAACCTGAACCCCCGAACTGAACCGAGGCTGGTCACCATGAGAAGCCGGAGCAACTCGGGCGTTAAACTGGACAACTATGCCCGGATGGTGCAGCAAACGATCCTCAGACACCAAGTGAGTGTTTAACTTTTACTTTAATGAAGGATTAAAGTTAAATAAAGTCAGTCAGAGCTCGAAATCAAACGTTTTGGTGCATGGAGGTGAAGTAAAATTGCGCAATGCATGAGCACAAACACACACTATACACATATTACACACTCATTACTTTGTGTGTCTTATTGCAGGTAGATTAATATATTTTTTTGCACTTGCACACCTTTGCACATTATTATTAATCCGAATAATAAACATGGGAACACTTGACACAGGATTTAGGAGGCTTTTTGTAGGGATGTTTGCTCCATAAATGTTGATTTAATCCCAAATAATCACATATATCAATACATTTAAAGTGATCTGATAAATTAAAGTGAAATAAATTGTATATTTCCCATTTAAATGTAGTGAAATAGAGGTTATAAAGTTGCACTTTAAGCAGCAATAAGGAACTTTCTTTTGTGTGTTGATTCTGGCGACCCCTGTGGACAGAAGCGGTACTGTTTCATTGATTTCAAGGGGAATCAGACCCTCTGGTGGGCTTTTATGTTTATATAGAGTCACACAGAGGCGTCAGTGTTACATAACCAGTTAAAAAACTCCTTATAGTACCTTTTTCTTAACTTAACTGTAACCGTAACCCTTAAAACCGAGTCTCTAAACCCTCAAATAACATCTTCAAACACACACAGATAACTTCCTCCTCTGCTGCTCATGCTGCAGGATTTTGCATGAAAGCCGTGGAGAGAAATCTTATCTGTCCACTGCAGAAGAGCAGCAACAACTAGAGAAAATCCCAGTGAATTAGTGAGATTCTGGTGGAATAGAGGCTACAAAAACCGAGAGAGAAACCAAAACATTGTGTCCGTTGTGTTGTTTTGGAGTTGATAAAGACACTGAGGAGGAAGAGAGGAGGAAGAGGGGGTCCAGAGGTTTTGTTATCTCTTTGTTTTAATCATCTGGCCTGTACGTTTTTGTCATTTCAACCACAAGAAACTTCAAGTGGAGGATGAAAAGAGGACACACTCGACGTGAAGTCACCATTTGAATCGGTCCCAGGTGGCTGTTGGCCAGTTGTATACAGCTCAGTGCTCAGATGGATCGCTGCACTAATGACTGCGGCAGCGAGAGCAGAGACTCTGTAGAGGATAATGCAGCTGATTAATAGAGATTAATGCACTGATAGGAAATCAATCTAGTCTGCTAGTGGTGATTTAGAACTTGTCAGGGGGGTAAAATAGTCTATTCCACGTGTAAAATAACAGTTTTCCAACTCTAAACACATAAATAACTCTATTTCTAACTCCGTTTTCTGTGGAAGAAGAAGAAAGATCGGACATGTCTCGCTGCTGTATTTGTGCAACTTGCCCAGAAGCCACCTTGTGTGACATTTCTCTAACTCGGGTGAGTGATGAAACCTGACTCTGTGTTGAAAGAGGAGACTGAAATGATCATTCAGTGGCTCTTCAGGAGGAATAACAGAGAGAGAAAAGGCTGTTTTTATACGACGTTTAAAGATGAACTGCAGTTAAATGAGGAATTTAGTTTCAGCTCTCACAATATCTCATTTGCGTGTGTATTTTGAGGTTATCAGAGGGTTGTAAACATCCTCTTTTGCAGCAGGAAGCAATGGGGCTTATGGGAAATGTAGTTTTTTGGATAAACACATGTTTACATATGATCCAGACGTTTTAATGTGTTTTTTTTGTACAATTTTTTAACAGAAAGTAACACAGTTTTCTTTACTTCTAAAAACAGCAGATTGGGTCTAAATATTTTTTCTTTCACATATTTTATGTCCCCACACAACCAAATGTTGTGTTTTCTCCTACAAGAAGACAATATTTGTATTAATTGACGTCCTCTGGTGGGTACGAGCTTAAAAGATCCTTCATTTCAGAACGATTACAGTCGTGTTAATTCAGCATTCGTAGTAGATAAGTCCTGTGTTGATCCTTTACAAGCATTAATTAATCATGATCAAAACATACAATCAGAGTTAATGTGAACAGCTGGTAAAATAAACTTTGATTGCTGTGTGTTTAAAGGAAAGCTGAGAACTTTATGGTAACAATTTATATGTTGTTACGGCTTAAAGAGTCTGGAAATGTTTGATTTATGTACTTAAAAGTGCTTTAATTTTACTGTAAAAGTCCCTCAGAGTGTTATTAATTATGACTTGTCTTTAATATATATTATATAAGTTCTCTGTCTTATATATTCAGGCCAAATATTCTGTCAGACAACCACACAAAGGTTAATTCGCTCCCCCTTCTGTGCATTACGCTGTCCAGTCATTAGGTTGTGTAAACTGCTGACCCCTGACCTTCTCTCTCAGGATCCAGTGACAGGTCTTCTCCCAGGCAGCTCGGATCAGAATCATTCCTGGGTCAGAGACAATGTTTACAGCGTCATGTCCGTGTGGGCCCTCAGTCTGGCCTACAGGAAGAACGCCGACAGGGACGAAGACAAGGCCAAAGCCTACGAACTGGAGCAGGTAGATCACGGGGGGGAAAAAATCATTAATCATCATTTTTAAAATCCCTTAAATGTCAAATTAATTCTTCAAAGGCCTCCATGTTCTTCTCTGCCTGCTCACCGGCAGTGATCACGTGTCTCTCTCTGTCTCTTTAGAGTGTGGTGAAGCTAATGAGAGGCATCCTCCAGTGCATAATGAGGCAGGTAGGTTGTCTCAAAGTGTTTAATTCTTCCTCTTTCTGTTGTAGAGAGCTGAAGTTAAACCCAGATAATTCACCTTTTTAAAGCCTCACCCACATAAAGTCCTCTGCTACCCGATTCAGAAAGGCTAAATACTAATTTTTTGTAGTTTGGTTAACTTGTTTTGGGCTTACCAGAACATTTGTGCTGAAAATAGTTGCCCCCAAAAATCGCAAACAGTAGAATCTGTGGCTATGAAACCAAAAAATTGAGCTAAAAGACGCTAAAACAGGACTAACTGCGGGGTCGTAACTACGAGCAACCAGTTTCACGCTAATCTGAAGATTAAAATATTGAATAAAGCAGGTTTGAATACACAATAAGTAGCAGATTGTAGAAAAATACCATCATATAACAACATTTTAGGAACCTTTGTTAAGAAACTGGAAATAAACAAGGTGTATCATTGTATGTTGTATATTGATGTATTTCTTTCTTTTTACAATATATGTATATAATTGTCCTCTTGCCCCCCTCCAGCTGGATAAAGTGGAGAAGTTTAAATACAGCAGAAGTACCTCAGACTCACTCCACGCCAAGTACAACACCAGGACCTGTGCCCCTGTTGTCGGAGACGACCAGTGGGGTCACCTACAGGTCGACGCCACCTCACTCTTCCTGCTCTTCCTCGCTCAGATGACGGCAGCCGGTAAATATTTCAGCAACAAAGAGATGTTTTGGGTTCTTTTTACATGTTAAATGAATGAAATATTAATTTTTAGTAGATTTTTTTTCCTGTTTAGAGAACTTTTTATACAATTACCCGTTTGTTTTTTATAATTTTTACCAATCATACCGACTTAATAAGCTTCTTTTCTTGACAAATTGAAGGAAAAACGTCATAAACTTTTGAGTTAAGTTAATAGTTCAGTGGGATAAATTAAAAAAACTGCTCAATCTGAGTAAATTTATGGGGAATTGTGGGGTGTTTATGGATTTGAATTTCATTTCTGGACAAGTTCGGGCCCAAAACTGCTTCCGTAGGTCGAGCTTGCACAGATTTTATCCCGGTTTGGGGATCAAACCTCTACATTGATGAGTGTTTTCCCTCCTCAGGTCTCCACATCGTCTACACCCAAGATGAAGTGGACGTAATTCAGAATCTCATGTTCTACATCGAGGCAGCTTACAAAGTGGCCGTAAGTGTTTGTTTATTGTCAACACTGTCGCTTAAAAAGGGAAAACAGACCTCCTGCTGGTATTAACTTTAAATTCCTCGATCCATTTTAAACATTTTCCCGTTCATTTCCTCTTTTATCCGGCTCCTTTACAGGATTATGGGATGTGGGAACGAGGAGACAAAACCAACCAGGGCATCACTGAGATTAACGCCAGCTCTATCGGCATGGCCAAGGTGAGTGCGCACACAAACACACACACACACACAGTATGTCTTTTCCTTGTAGTCCTGTGTGTGTGTGTGTGTGTGTGTGTGTGTGTGTGTGTGTGTTGGAGGAGTGAGGAGGAGGAACAGTTGGGAAGCTGGAGGAGGAAAAACAGCTCCCTGAGTGCTGAGCAAAGCTTCCCAACCACAGAGGCAGAACAGGTGCTCCAGTAAAAAATCTCTGGCACGGTGGAAGGTGTCTAGTCGCTGCAGCGGCCTTTACGCTGACCTTTAGACGGCCCCCAGACTCTCCAAACTAAACTCGGGGTCAGATGGGAGGACTTTGTTTTGGTGCTTGAAAGTATAGATGTCAGTATAGATAAATACTCAAAGAATTAAAGCTAACAGCCTCATTTTATTTTGGTAAATGTGAGCATGTTTCTCATGTTATTGAGGATTTAAACAAGGTTTTATAACGTGAATCTAATCAGACTCAATCCAGATAATCCTTCAAAATAAAAGGAAACATCAGAAATCCTTGAAGAATATTTCGTAGTTATGAAAGTTTTCACATAACAGGATACGAACTCTGTTCTCTGGTGCCTGACCCCGGCTGCCGTCCTTGGCCGGCCGGCGGCAGCGAACAGGGGGTATCGGGTTCTCTGTGTGGTCTTCCAAGAATGGCTTCTCACTCAGAAATAACACAGTACTCGCAGTACCCAACACACACACACACACACACACACACACACACACACACACACACACACATAGGGTTTAATTTAAGCCTTTGGAAACAGGCACCCCTGCAGGATGTTCCCTGCTTCATTAATTATAGTTATTATTATTTATAGACACAAAACAGCAGGAACTGATTGTAACGTGTACACTAGTGTGATGTACTGCTACTGTGTATATACACACAATACACACATATAATGTTGTGTATTATATCTATTGTACTATAATTATACTTGATTCTAGAGCCTGACCAAGATTATTGTTCATTATTGGATTATTACATATATATTAATGACAGATAACATCTGCAGTAAATACACGTTTTATAGGATTTCTGTGGATATTTGACAGTTTTATACATATTTATTTTGTATTTACTCTCAGAATTTTAACAGTAAACTTAACTGGAAACTTATTCCTGTTACTATTATATATATTATGATAGTGAAATTTATTGCACAACTTTGAGATATTGCGCCAAATAATAACCCAATTTATAGGGTCCTTGTTTGAAGGGAAAACTTTGTTTATGTAGCCAATTATTAATGTCAGTTAGGCTCTATTTAACACATGCAATCCATTTATATATTCATTTTGAAATAAACTACATAATATAATCTGGTTAATATCATAAAAACATAATCCCAGGACAAATACAGCTTGTATTTTTGTGGTAAAAATCTGGGAACAATACAAGCCTCAGTACTTTTAATCTGCGTACTACAGTGAACTATATACAGTGTTATAATCTACTGTATGTTTACTGCATGTAAACGATTGTATCTGGTTTTTAACGAGGGTCACATGACTGCTGTCTGTCCTCCAGGCAGCTCTGGAGGCTCTGGATGACCTCAACCTGTTTGGGGCCAAAGGAGGACCAGGATCTGTGGTCCACGCCTTGGCTGATGACATCCAGCACTGCCAGGTAGACACATAAATTACACGTCATATTAACTCTTATTTTTGGTTGCTGAATATCGACTGTATCCGTCCCTCATTTGTCTCTTTCTTCCTCCTGCATCAGTCCATTCTGACGTCCATGTTACCCAGAGCGTCCATGTCTAAAGAGGTGGACGCCGGAGTCCTGGCTATCATCTCCTACCCGGCCTTCGCTGTGGAGGACATGAGCATCGTCAACATGACCAAGGAGGAGATCATCTCCAAACTGCAGGTGGATTAAAGTACCTTTTTCCTTAAGGGGGAGCCCTTTTCTATCGTTTAATGACATATATTTTATGGATATTTCATTTTATATTCAAAACTGTACAATAAACCCAAATATTAAACTCAGTAACTACAAAAAGTTTGTGTAAAACAAGAGATTTGGATGAATTTTGAGCAGATTATTTCCTGTTTAGGGAACTCTTTATACAATTATCTGTTTATCTTAATCATTTTTAACAATCATAAAGACTTAATAGGCTTCTTTTCTTGAAAAGTACTACAATAACTTGTACTTTTTTAGTTACTTTTCTCCATTTAGATGAACTGAATGCTGAGATATAGTCCTGTTTTCACTGATACAGGATAAAGATGTTGTTGATTAATCTTTTAAATGTCAGAAAATTCCCATCACGATTTCAGAATGTAAAAAAAGGAGCTTTATAAGGAAAGAATATACTCAGAGCAAACAAATCATGATGAATACATTACATAAAGACAGTATGAAGCCATATAAAGTAAGCCATGTACGGAAGAGGCTGCGCCGTTGAATGTTTAATGTTTGAATGTGTCCTCACTGACTTTCTCTCTGTGTCCGTTCAGGGTCGATACGGCTGCTGCAGGTTCCTCAGAGACGGACACAAAACCCCCAAAGAGGTCAGATGATCCTTTTAATGTCACTTTGTTTGTTGCACACTTTGTTTGTTGCACAAGTGGTGGGCAAAGAAAATGTTACTCCATCAGATTGCATGTTGTTCATCTAAAGGAGGAAATGCTGAGTAGATTGTTGTTTGTGTACTTTAAGGAGGTCCCTAGTGTTCAGATGACTCTTGTTTTAAAGTTTAAACTCTTCTTTCACTACTTTTTTTCCTCCACTTCTTGTGATAAATTTAAGGAGCTGGTGTTCAGCGTTGTTTGGATAGAAAGTGTGTTTATTCTTTAGACGTCAGAGTTCCTTTCTGCTTTTAACCGTCACTTATTTCTATTGTTGTCTGTGGTGTTTTTACAGTCCACCAACTATTTATAAAAACAGAAACAGGCATTAAGTGTCTGACATTTCAGGGTTTTTAGAAAATAAATCTCTCCCCCCACCCCAAAAAAAAGGAAACTTGCATCATGTCCGATTTAAGAAAGCAGAGAAAGCAAATAAAGTATAAAAAAACAACAGTTCAGTTGAGTGACATTGTACAAGACGTAAATAAGTATTAATTTAATCAACTTTTTGTGGATTTTCTGCTGCTAAGAAATATTAATGAAGTTGTTTTGTGTTGTGTTAATAACACAAATTAAAACACTTTAATTCATCAACTGTTGTTTTGGTGTCTCATCATCATGTAGAGCTACTGAGTGACCAACAGTGAGCATGTGGTTATACTGGGAAGCTTCCAGTTATCAGTGTGTGTGTGTGTGTGAGTGCAACATTGTGAAGGAAATAGTCTTAAAGTCTTAAAGGACCGAGAATAACTTACATAATAATCTGTCTGAGCTTTTGTAAGTGAGTATTTGTGCAGCAGGGCAACTTTTAAATGAAGTCCAATCAGTTTCAGATATGTGGATTTGTAGATAAAGTAACATCTGACCTTCTTATAGAGAAGAAATGTTCCTGCAGGGATCAATACAACATTAAATACATATTATTATATTCTGCCCTCGCACACGTTGATGACTTGCGTCCCTTCGTCTTCTTCTTCCAGGATCCAAACCGTCTTTATTACGAGTCTGCGGAGCTGAAGCTGTTTGAAAACATCGAGTGTGAGTGGCCTCTGTTCTGGACCTACCTCATACTGGACGGCATCTTCATCAACAGCCCCGAACAGGTAATTTATATCAGTATTTTAGCTTCCAAGCATATATTTGCGTACTCGAGGTCAACGGTTGGATGTAAAACTCTGTTAATTCAGGTGCAGGAGTACCAGGAGGCTCTGGAGGGCATCCTGATCAAACAGAAAGACGGGATTCGACTGGTGCCGGAGCTCTACAGCGTCCCTCCAGATAAGGTAAAAACGCGTCTGTGACGCTTTTATAAGAGACTGTTAATGGTTTGTGTAGTGTTAGCTACGAGCTGCTGCCCTCTCTGAGATCAATCAGTGTTGTTTCTAGTGTCTTTTGTACGGAAAATCCGTTTTTAAATTGTTTCTTTCTTGTGTTTATGACTTAAGAACAGCTGAAATATGCCAGAATAATCTTTCTTTAGTAACTTTATTATTTTTTTAACATGAGAAACATGTAGTTTCTTTTAGGTCAGGATCATTTTTTATGTATTTGTTGTTGTAATACTCATTTCGATCACTAGAGGCTGTTAGTAAGTTATGTGATATTACTTCCACGTCTTTATTTTGGCTAAAAATGTATTTTAACTGCAGCTAAGAGAAATGTAAACTCACTTGGAAGAGAACATAATGTTTATAGTCCTATATAGAGCAATGGGTAGCGGTGCACTTGAGCCTCTTGTGGCCAAAATTAGTATTACATAAAAAAAGTAACTTAAATAAACTTTTTTCCATTTGTTTCAAAGTTTTAGTTGAAAGTTAAAAAAATTTAGAAAGATTATGCTAGAAAAAAAACTTTTTTTGTTTGTTTTTGTTGAATAAACATTGTATCGGATGTCGTAATAATCCATCATAAGTGTAATTAAATCCAAAATTGATCAAAATTGATCACTTGAATAAATGTTTTCTCACATGCCTCTCAGGGCTTCCATAGTAGTTTCTAGTGATACTTATATCTTTATTATTTCTGCTGTGTTTTATGAATATCTTTCATGTTTTAAAGCTTTAACATTGTTGTTTGTTTGTTTGTATATAACAACAGGTGGAGGAGGAGTACATGAACCCTCACTCTGTGGAGAGGATCCCGATGGGGAAATGTCCTCTGAAATGGGGACAGTCTCTCTACATCCTGGGAAACCTTTTGTCCGAGGTGAGCCGTTGCAAACACTAACACTAAATAATCCTTCAGTATATTAATTAATTAACACATTCAGGGCAGATTATTTTCAAGAATACGTGTGGAGACGATACCAGGAGATTCTTAAGCTACTAATAAGCATATTTAAATAAAAAGAGGGTAAGTTGAAGAAGAATTACTCAGTTTGTGCGGCATTTTATAAACTTTAAGTATACTTTTAACAACTTTTTAAATATATATCTTACTAATATTGTTGTACCGTTTGATGTATGTATTCTCATTGCTTTTGCTCCACTGTTTGTTTCTTAATTTAATTGATTCAATTGTTTCTTATGATGCCTTTTAAATCTTCAGATCTCCCTTTTTTCTCAAAGAAAACTAAATTCTTGTTGATTTTGGGGCTCTGACTTCTTAACCTGTGTCCCAACTTTCAGGGATTTCTCGCCCCCGGAGAGATCGACCCTCTTAACCGACGTTTCTCCACAATCCCCAAGCCTGATGTGGTCGTACAGGGTGAGTATCGGTGGATGTTACGTTGGAAACTACAGTGGCAGTAGTTTTATAATGCGCTCTCTTTTCCTCTTGCAGTGTCGATTCTAGCAGAGACTGAGGAGATCAAAGAGCTGCTGTTGAAGAACGGCCTCGACGTGGAGACGGTTGCGGACATCCATCCCATCCACGTGCAGCCGTCCAGAGTCCTCAGCCACATCTACGCCCGACTCGGTACGACCTCAGTGGACGTTTTCTGACAGTTTGACTGGTGACAGCAAGTTATCATGTTTGTTTATGCTTTATTCGGATAATTTAATGCTACATATGCGCCAATAAGTGTTAACAGGTCCCTATCAAAGATACATACGTATAATTATAATAGGTTTAATCACCAGTTTTTTATCATTTAGAACGATAATTCTGTCATCTTTTATATTGAATCTGATAAAAACATTTAATACTTTATAATATAGTTCATAATTTAATCCATACAGTGTGAATGAAAGTTAAAAAAATATATAGTGCTGGTCTCTGATCATAGTTATTAAAAGTGTTTCTTTAACCTCTTAAATATACGGAAGCTCGTTAATGCCAGAAGAAAAAAAAATAGCTGATGATACAAACAAAAATAGTGAGTCAAAATTATGAAATAATAAGTTAACATTTTGATATTTTGATCAAAATTGAATGATCACAGAATCTAAAATAAAGTTTTGTGGGTTTTAACTGCACAGTACGAGTTTGTAATGTTTATATGGAAGCTCAGAATGAAGACATAAAAAATACAGAAAGAAAATCAATATGTCAGATGTCAGGTTAATAATTTCTGTTGACTGATCTCGCAGGAGATCAGGAAGAACTCTACAATTTAAATTTGACTCGTTCTCAAAATCATTTGAGAGTTTAGGTGGCACAACAACACACATATTTAACCTCTATTTATGTATTTTATCTTGTGCTGCTGCAGCCTTTGATCTTTATCTGCCAGGTCTGACCTTGTGAATTGACCAGCAGCTGTTGGAGCTAAATTTATAACAGACGTCTAGTTTTAAGGATTTTGATTCCCTTTTTCTTCTTCTCTTTTAATTAAATCTGACTTTCTAAGGTTAGAAAGTTTCAACATCTACACAAATGCTTTTCCTCTCCGGGCCTTTTCCCTCACTTTCCTGCTCTGTCTTCAGGTCGTAACCCGAGGTTAGGTCTGACGGGACGACCCTACAGGAGAATAGGAGTCCTGGGAACCTCCAAATTCTACATCATCAGAAACACCATATTCTCTTTCACACCTCAGGTTAGCGAGAAAACACAGGCTAAGAATCACAGCCGCTACAATAACACAGTATCAGTTGACATAATCTGGTGAAAATAGAGTAACGTTTACCCATAATCCCTCCAGTTCATCGACCACCAGCAGTTCTACTTGGCGTTGGACAACAAAATGATCGTGGAGATGTTGAGGACAGAAATCGCCTACCTCTCGTCCAGGTGGAGGATGACCGGACGACCCACCGTCACGTTTCCCATTTCACAATCGATGTTGAGTAAGTACGAACATGCAACCACGTACGACTTAAAAACGAGTTAAATTCCGTCGTTTAAGATGTTTAACCCAATAAAAGCTGAGTTTTTAGTGCGTTTATTCCTCATTTTGATGTTGTTGTTTCAGCTGAGAACCACACAAACCTGGACCCTGCAGTCTTGGCCACACTGAAGAAGCTGCAGGACGGATATTACGGAGGAGCGAGGTGAATTTTACCGGGAATACCGAGGACTTCTGGGAATTTAACGACAGGAAGAGGGGCTTTTTTATAAGATAAAATTTCTCAAAAATCAGTCAAAATTTTAGTTATTTAAGGAAAAAAAATAAAGACTTTAAGGATATGCAGTAATTCTGGTAGATAAATACAAAATTTATTTTATTTTATTTAGATTTAATTTCATAATAAAAAAGAAAAATATCACTTTTTTCTTGGTAGCTACTCAAAAATGTCTAACTTCAGGTTTTCTACTATAAAATCTAATAGTTAAAATACAGTCAGCCTCAGTTTGTGTAGCTTCATTGACATTTGCTCTATTTCAGTGCCAAGAAATTAACATTATAAAGGTTTTTCCCTTTATTTAGCTTCAGTTTAAAGGTTATTTATTCGTCTCTTCGTCACTTTTATTGTCCGATAAGACTTAAAGGTTTTGTCCTTGTGACGCTAAAAGTATACATGACGTATTTTCTCCCCTCCAGGATCCAGACGGGGAAGCTGTCGGAGTTCTTGACCACTTCCTGTTTCGCTCACCTGAGCTTCCTGGACGGTAAGGCTTCTGGCAGCATGAGCCGCCACGACGAAGAGTATGGTGATGATGAGCGTGACGGCGATGGATACGTGCATGAGTTACGTTGTGATGATGGTAAGACGAAAAAAAAAAGCGCAGAGTGTTGGATGGATGGATGGGGGAAGGGATGGTGACTCCAGAGATGGAAAACCGGATTAAAGTGTTGATACGAGGAGTTTATCACCAGCAGGTGGCGCTTGTTTTGTTTTCCATCCTTGGTTTGACCTTTGACCTGAAACCGAGTAACCTGATTCTTATTAATCACCACTTCCTGCTTCATCCTGCTGTCACATCATCACTTATCTTTCCCCCCCGTCCGCATCCACTCTGTACTGATCTCCGGTGGCTGTTTGGAAGGTTTTGCTCTTCTTAAGCCCCGCCCCTTTTTGGCGCTGCTCTCCAATAACAGTTGCTACACTTTCTCCTTTTCCCGTGTTTAATTATGTGCTAGCCTCGTCTATGTTGAACACACAACTAGGGTTTTTAAAGATGGTTAAAAGATAAAAGCGACACACAGACTTTAAAGTCGCAATCACATAGTCGGATGTTGGCAAAACACCAGCTAACTAGCTAACTACATGTAGCCTTAACACTACGGATGTGAATACGAAAGATGTGGAAAGGTGACGATATTAACAACCTTTTAAATTTGGTTTTCTGAGTGTTAATTCATCTAAAATAATTAACAAGCGCTGATAAGATGAATTAACACTAATGCTAATTTTCAAATGTTAGCAAAGATGCATTAATTATTGCTTTCAGTATCAATCTTCCAGTTATATTCTTGATTAATTGTTATGGAAATGGTCACAAATGCTGTTTTGTTCGTTAAATACCTCTTAATAAATATAATTTATTTTTAATTTAGATCAAAGAAGAGCTGCATGTGTTTACATTTTGCTAACATTAGCTTTCAGATCTAACTAGCTAGCCAAGACTCCATGTAGCTAGCTACGGATATAAATACGAAAGATGTGGAAATTTGTCTTTGGTTTCACCATAAGACGGGCCATAAAACATATAAAGACATACATATATATTATATACAAAATCACATTAACGTACCGTGCAACAAACTGCGGTAAAGTAATCAACTGTTAGTTAGCTAACGTAAGATGTGACTTTATATGTGTCACTTTTATCTTTTAACCATCTTTAAAATGTGGTTGTATTTTTAACAAAGACGAGCCCAGCACATAGCGTTTCTACGTACAGGAAACGGAGAAAGTCAGCCGAGGGAAGCTCGACTGTTATTGGAGCACAGAGCAAAAAGGGGCGGGGCTTAGGAAGGATCAATCGCAGGGGTCGTGGCTCAATAGTACGACGGAGTATTAGGGCCATACTAAGAGAAAAAAATATTTTTGAGAATAAAGTCGTAATATTACGAGAATAAAGTCGTAATATTACGAGAATAAAGTTGTAATATTACGAGAATAAAGTCGTAACATTACGAGAATAAAGTCGTAACATTACGAGAATAAAGTCGTAACATTAGGAGAATAAAGTCGTAATATTACGAGAATAAAGTCATAATATTACGGAGTCTTACTATTAGAGAATAAAGTTGTAACATTACGAGAATAAAGTTGTAATATTACGAGAATAAAGTCATAATATTAGGTCTACGAGAATAAAGTCGTAACATTACGAGAATAAAGTTATAATATTACGAGAATAAAGTCGTAACATTACGAGAATAAAGTTGTAATATTACGAGAATAAAGTCATAATATTAGGTCTACGAGAATAAAGTCGTAACATTACGAGAATAAAGTTATAATATTACGAGAATACAGTCGTAACATTACAAGAATAAAGTCATAATATTACAAGAATAAAGTCATAATATTAGGTCTACTAGAATAAAGTCATAATATTAGGTCTACGAGAATAAAGTCGTAACATTACGAGAATAAAGACGTAATATTACGAGAATAAAGTCATAATATTAGGTCTATGAAATAAAGTCGAAATTAAATAAAGTTATAATATTAGGTCTATGAGAATAAAGTCGTAACATTACGAGAATAAAGTTGTAATATTACGAGAATACAGTCATAACATTACAAGAATAAAGTCATAATATTACAAGAATAAAGTCATAATATTAGGTCTACTAGAATAAAGTCGTAACATTACGAGAATAAAGTTGTAATATTACGAGAATAAAGTCGTAACATTACGAGAATAAAGACGTAATATTACGAGAATAAAGTCATAATATTAGGTCTATGAGAATAAAGTCGTAATATTACGAGAATAAAGTCGTAACATTACGAGAACTGTCAGCCTGTTGGCTCAGCCAGCAAAACTGTTTAACGACGAAATGATCAATAGTTTAGTTTCCCTGTTGACTGTACGGTACGACTGAGACAAACAGCGGCTGCTGGGCTCAGACTGAGGCGGCTGTTTGGTTGAGCTTTTTTTCTTAGTCTGGCCCTAATACTCGTACAGAAGGTTGAGAAACCCTGCTTTAATTTCTAATTTACAGATTGTTTATAATAATAAAATAATAATAAAAACCTTCACAATCACCTATGTTTTGGGTCACTGGTTTTGATGCTTGCATCCAGTGAATGTGTGGCTTTAATTTAATACACGTGCATGTTTTCAAACTGGCTGCTGCCTGTTAGCGAATGTACTTGTGTCACATGAACGATGAAGCATGTCATAATCGTCACTGTTTTAAAGGGTCAGTTCACCTAAAATCTCATACACGGTGTATCTAACCATGCAGATAATGTTTCTTTTTTCACTGTTAATGGTGTTTTCTTTTTAAATATCCACCACTAAAACACTGATGATGGATGAGAACTTAACAGCAGCATGACTTTAAAACAGTTTTAACAATGTTTTAACTTCTGTATATATGCATGGAGAGATATCGTTAGGTGAGTATGGAACAGTGTGTTTTTTAGGAGATTTTGATGAACAAACCTTTTAAAAACTGCAATTTTACATGAATTTATTGATGTTAAGACACCATTAAATACCAATTTAGACAATTTAGATGTTTTAGTTGAGATGTTTTTTTACTTTTTAATAAGCTATGTGTACACTAAATAAAAAAAAGTTGAATCTATTGGTGTCTTAAACTTGATAAACCTTTTTGTTTCCCACTCTCTGTGACTTTTATTGATTCTCTATCTCCATCCTTCTTTATCCTATTTTCTACTCTCTCTCTCTCTCTCTCTCTCTCTCTCTCTCTCTCTCTCTCTCTCTCCCCCTTCCTCTGTCCTTTTCGTCCTCCTCTCTAGAGGCCGACGACCTCGCCCAGTACCTGGACCACCTGTTGGCTCACTCTGCCCCCAAGAAGCCCAAACGGCAGGTCGGAGGTCTGGGGAGGTTCAAGGCCGCGGCCACCAAAACCAAGGAGATGGTGTCTCTCATGAACAAGGCTCAAGACCTCGACATACACAGTGAGTCTGGACAAAATAAGACTTCCCAGACACCAATATCTTGTTGTTGAGAGTGAAATGCTGTGTTAGGTTCCTTCTGAAGACATTAACACTCAGTAACACCAGACTTCTCCTGCAGATGTCAACATGTACCTGCCCAACAAACTGTTTCGCTCCACTCAGCCGTCCCTCAATCTGAACCTCCCAGAGCCCGCTGCGCCGCAAGCAGCTCAGGTGTGTTTTCACGTCTTCATGTAGTTCAGACTATACACCTTTTTACCTTTCATCCCTTCCAGCTTTAACTTCCACTTTCCCCTCTCCTCTGTGTCCTCCAGGGTCCAGAGGTGTCGGTCACAACGGAAAGCGGTATCCCCAGAGATGCCAGCGGTGCCATCGACTATAACGCTTTGGCCCAGCTGCTGAAAGACACTCAGTGTCTCCAGGACCAGGCCGATATTCTCTACATCCTCTTCAAAGACAAGTGAGATACACAGTTTTTTACGCTTCGACTACCTAGAACTAGAACTTTTAGTCTTTGTTTTTCTTGTAATTTAGGTTTTAATCAAGAATTGTGTCTTGTGTGGTTTTAAGACGGTTTGAAGAAGAGAAAGCCAAAAAATATTTATTACTTTTCCTAAATTTACTGATGTCCATGTCTCTCTCAGAGCCTTGTCTTTAAAAAATAGTTTGTTTTTGTATAGATTATTTAAAATGGGAATGGCTTGTGACGCCACCAATAAGTTAAAATGGCATTCAAATGAGCTCTAATAGAATATGGAAACAACAAATGGTAATAAATGAATAGTATTGCACCAAAAGATCAATTTAGAGAAGTGGTCAAACCTCCATACAGAGTTGAAAAGATGCTATTAAACTGTGTGAAATTAAAACCTCCCTTGCAGGGGGATGGACTGGGACACTCATCTGCACGGTAAAGGCTCCACGGTGAGATCTCTGCTGTCCGACCTTTACGAGAAGGCGGGTGAACTCAAACACTGGAGCCTCATCCGGATGATCTCCGGTATGCTGAAGAAGAAGGTGGAGGAGCTCGACTCGGTACGACGCACACGGTTATAGATAAAACAGCCACGAAGGAGGTTGTTTTCTGCAAGTTGAATGGGTTTCTGTAAAATATGGTTAAACTTTAGTGGTGATCTGGTCTAAATGAAGTTTAAATTAGGCAGTATTAAAATAATAAATTGTTCCTGGAAAATAGGGTTGAGGTTTTCCTTTAGGGTCAACCCCTTGTGACTAATGGGGACAACGTTTTCTGAAATTGGTCCATTATTGAGCGAGAGCACTGCAGCCGGCAGCTGCAATGTGTAATCAATGAACGTCCACTAAAAAGGTTTGTTTCTGGCTCTTCTAGGCTCAGATTGTTAATGTTAGTGTCTGACAACATTATGGACGTCATTTATTATCTCACACTTGATGGACTTTCATGTATTGTGCTGTTTTATCTAGTGTATATTTACAGTTCTGTGGTCGTTGTTTTGTTTACCTGCCCAGGGACAACAGATGCAAATTAGCTATTGGCTAACTCTGGTGCAATTGTAATCAAATAAATAAAATAAATAAATGGAAATGACCCTGTAGAGATAGACCTTTTTGTTAAGGAGAAAGGTCTTTTTTTGTTGAACTTTGACACAAAAAAATGGGAGAAAAGGCTCTATTTATGTCTATATCTGTATTTCATTATCGTCCATCACATTACGCCATATCTCATATTTCCCAGCACTCGTTTTACTGATTGTTTGCGTTCTGTTTGCAGGCCTGCTCCGATCTGCTGGCGCACCAGAAGCACCTGACGGTGGGTCTGCCTCCTGAGCCGAGAGAGAAAACCATCACCGCTCCCATACCTCCAGACCAGCTGGCCGCCGTCATCGACGAGGCCAGCGACAGCAACATCAGCGTGGCCATACTGACTCAGGTGAGCCCACGTCGTCCTCCACTGTCACCTGTGAATGTGTCCTCCTGTCCTCCTCTTTAATCCCTCCTCCCTCCTCCAGGAGATTATGGTGTACCTGGCAATGAGCATAAGGACTCAGCCCAGCCTCTTCAGCGAGATGTTCAGGCTCCGTATCGGCCTCATCATCCAGGTCATGGCCACCGAGCTCGCCCAGTCACTCAACTGCTCAGGTACGGCAGGAAAGAGAGGAAGACGAGTGATATTTTAAAACAGATTGTCTATAAAATACAGTGAAAAATCTCCCGTCACAAGTTCACAAACTCAATTGTTTTCAATGTTTTGTTTGACCAACAGTCTAAAACCAAAAAGATATTCAGTTTACTGCGTTAATAGAGTATGAAAACCAGAAAATATAAATGTCGAGTGAATTTTTGCCAACTTTGCTGAAAAGAAACGATTATTTGATTAACAAAATTGTTACAGATTGAAAATTACATACATGTCATTTGTACTTTTGTGGTCAAATTATTTTATCGTATCAATTATTATTCTGACTTTGTGTGTGTGTGTGTGTGTGTGTGTGTGTGTGTGTGTGTGTGTGTGTGTGTGTAGGAGAGGAAGCTACAGAGAGCCTGATGAGTCTCAGTCCATCAGAACTGAAGAATCTCCTCCATCACATCCTCAGTGGGAAGGAGTTTGGAGTCCAACGCAGCGGTCAGTCCACCAACCAAATCCTGTATCTCACACACACACACACACACACACACACACACACACACACACACACACACACACAATCCGCCATTTTTCTCGCTGTAAGGTTGCCCCCCTCCCCCCTCCGTCCACAGTTAGAGAGCTGGATGCCGGAGTCAGTCCCGCCATCTCCATCCATCACCTGGGCAACGTGGGCGCCACCAAGAGCGAGAGAGCCGGCATCAGCAAACTGAAGAGCGACATGAGGATGGTAGGACGCTCGCTCAGAGGCGGAATAAAGAGTTTGGTAGTTGGTAGCCTGACACTTTAAAGTCAGCGTTAAAACAGGAGTGAAGGTAAAAGGTTTTGGTGGTAGCTCGACCTCCAGAGGATGGTGAAGAGTTGTCGGAAGCGATAAAGGGAGAGGAGGATTTTATTTTGAAAATCTTGTGCTTTTATGGCAAACTGACTTCTGTCTTTTTCTCAGCTGGAACACAGGTTGTCTTTGACGGATCCGAGTAAGGTGATGAGTGCAGATGTTGAATCAGATTAGGTGGTAATTCACCTGGATAATTGTGGAAGATTTAGATTTAGAAAACGTTGATTATTATAAATGAACGAATTGATGTTGATGTTGAACATCCTCAGTTTTAAATAAATCACCAGAGCAGCTTGTTGACTTGTGATTTATTTACAACTTTGTTTTGTGTTGCAGGCGGAGCACAGGTTGTCTTTGACGGACCCCTTTAAGGTGATGATCACATGAAGGAATATTAACTTATCAGCAGAATTAAATCTGTTTCTTCTTCTTATTTACTGTGAATACGTCAGTTATCAGTAAATTAAAGTAGTAAGTACAAGATATGCTGTAGGTGTTAATTCACCTTCCATGTAAACATCACCAATCAGAGTTCATTGAGGGTTTTTTTTTTTATTCATAGCTGTCCTAATTTCTGCCAGTTACAATGGAAAGTTGTTCCAGAGCTTTCAACTGCATCACACTGGCTTCATCATCACATGGAGTTTGCTCAGTTTTAGGACTTCTCATCCATGTTGGACAACAGTTAATAAAACAATCAAAGTCAAAGTCAAAATCTAATTAAATTACTGAAATTAGATTCTCCGGTTCATGATCTAGCGTCACACAGCGTTACGGTGGCCCAAAGACAGTTCAGCCCATTCATTAAAAAACTGTTTATTAACTAACGACTGCAGCGAAGCTCGGTTAGTGTTTACACCCGTTTGTGTGTCTCATTCTACTGAATCCTCCTGTTTACTAACCGAGACAGTAACTGTATCTTAGAGGTAGGACCACCAGGAGCTGCTGCCCTCTGGTGGTCGGTAAATTTTAATAACTAGATACATTAAAATAATATATCTGACAGCTGAGTGCATTAATAAGAGAACTGGAGCATTTAAAAGTATATAAAGTTATTGGTAAACTTTTGAGAGAAGCATCTAGTAACAGTTACTAACTATTTTTCAGTACAACACTAGTCAAGGGTCACTTACTCTCTTTTTTTCGGAAGCTTTCAACTTCTCTTCAAGATCATAAAATGATTGTGGCGCTCACTTTTTAAGCCAACATGGATGAAAAGTCGAAAGAATGAAGTTGGATCATTGTTCAGGCCGTCATTGAGTCTGAGTAAGCGAGGTTGTTTTGCTGTTTCCGAAAAGTCAAGAATGAGCTCAGCTTCATAACGCTGCTTGTCTTTGTCTTTGTTTTGATCTAGGACCCCAGGTTGTCTTTGACAGAGCCAGTTTCAGAGGTGATGATGATGATGATGATGATGATGATGATGATGATGATTTAATTCACCTAGCTGTGGAGCTGTGAATTGAAAACGAATGTCGATGATGCCGATTTGACGAGGACATACGACTTAACGGTTGAACATTTAGCGTTTGAATTCATTGTGTCTTCCTCTGTTGCAGATGGACCGCAGGGCGTCTTTGGCCGACTCAGTTAAGGTGATGATGATGAAGTTCATTATTGAGACTCTGTAAGAAGCGAGGAAGAGTTAGACGCAGTAATTAAGTGTTCATTTTCCATGTAGATGGATCAGAGGTTGTGATGATGATGATGGTGGTGTCAGTGATTAGCTGATGAAATGACTGGGTTTGTTATTATAGTGGCGTTAATGAACTGAATTAATCACCCTGTTCAGTAAAGTCACATCTTGACTATCACTCATATAAAACAATAATGTTATTTATGAGGAGAAATCGACGTACTGTACTTGGATTTTGGGTACAAACGGGTTCGTAAGGGGTTAAAGTCTGTAATCCAAAGCGGATTTTTTTTGTCTCCATTTCAGCTCGACCAGTCAGTGACCTCCTTTCACAAGGTGACGATATTAACGAGCTTTAAACTTGGTTTTCTGAGTGTTAATTCATCTTAAATACTTAACACGCGCCGATCAGATGAGTGATTAACACTCTAATGCTAATTTTCAAATGTAACTTTAATATCTTTAATTATTTATTGTTTGCAGAGCTGCAACTAATTATCGCTTTCAGTATCAATCCAGTTATATTCTTAATTAACTGTTATAAAAATGGTCACAAATGCTGTTTTTGTTCATCAAAAATCTCTTAATGAATATAAATTGTTTTAGTTTGGGTTGAAGAAGAGCATGTGTTTATATTTGAGGAGCTGGAAGTAGCGGAAGTTTGGCATTTCTGATCGATAAGTTATTTAAACTATTATAAAGTTTTCGTAATTCATGAATCAATGAATCTCCTGTCGACTGGCTAATTAAATGTTTGATTTAAGATATTTATTGTGAGTTAAGCAGACACAGGTAGAAGGACGCAGGTTTGGCACCAGCTTGTCCCAAAAGAGCTGTTGGATGAATTAATCTGTTTTTATTTGTTTTTTTTACCCATTATCTTTTGTTTTCTAACCTCATTTCTAATTCTCTCTTATTTCCAAATCCTGATTTTCATGCATGCTCATTTTCTAGAAGCCATAACCCGACGGCTTTGGGGTTGTTTTGTTGCCATTCACAGTTTTTATCCGTCTCACACTTCACACTTTGTTTTTTCATTTTGTGCATCCTTTTTGTTTCTCTCCCTCTCCTTTTGTGTTTCTTTTTCTGCCTCTCAGGGCATGCGATCTCAGTCTCTGGACATAGAAAACCTTGAATCCGGGGTAAAGATTTGTCTATTAATCAGATATTTCTGACGTTATACAGCTGTATACTTCTGAAACAGGTAGAGGGCGCCGTTCTTCCAGAACAAACAGAGCTTTAAATGCATTTCTTTCTTGTCGTTGTGGCCGTTCAGAGGTACAGGCTGCCTTCCATAGAATCTCTGGACATTCCGGAGAGCATTCCAGTTGCCAAGGATACCAGGCACGGCCAATGGCTGCGCAGGAGGCGTCTGGACGGAGCGCTGAACAGAGTTCCGGTGGGGTTCTACCAGAAAGTCTGGAAGATCCTGCAGAAGGTCGGTTCTTTTCCACAAATTTGACCAATCGTAGTCGTTTTCTGAGCAAAACGTTGAGCAATACGTCACCAAACTCACTTCCTTGTTTGTAGTTGTGACTCCCAACAGTGTGATTTTATTCCTAATGGAACAAGTTGCCTTCGACTTTGAATAAGTTATACAGAAAAGTCATAATAAGCTCAAATATTTGTGAAATTTCACTTTTCTCCGTGGCATTTCAGGCCACAGCAATCAGACAAACAGCTTTTTTACACTGATTTTAATTTTTTTATTGTTTCTAACGTGTAGTACGAGTACAAAGGCCTGGATTAAAAGTCATAAAAGTGTTTCTATGCAAAGTAGTGATCATACAAACACGTTGTCTTCTAGTGCCACGGTTTGTCCATAGAAGGGTTCGTCCTTCCTTCTTCAACCACCAGAGAGGTAAGAGATCCACTTTAATAATTGTCCACAGAAATGTTCCTGAAATTGTCTTCTTTTCCCTTTTCCCCTGCTGGTTTTGTTAATCTCACTTTACAAAATAAAGCCATACCTTTACAGCCATTACTTTACAGCTGGTCCCATTTTAGAATAGAAATGTATCTAAACAGAGAGAAATTATAAGAAAAAAATTAAATAATAAATAAGTAGCATGTAAAAATATGTGCATTATACTACAATGTTAAAGTTATAGTATTACGTTTTAATAAAAAGATGTATTATTCAGTATATAATTAATGTCAGAGTAAACCAGAGTACTGAGTATTTGAATTACAGGTTTATTTAATTAAGCTGAGATGTATGTAAGTTGCATGTTTAGAGGCACAAATTAAAATCAGTGCGTTTATTTCTTCCTCGTCTTCTCTTTATCTCTTTAATTCTCCCTGCAGATGACACCAGGAGAGATAAAATTCTCCGTCCACGTGGAGACGGTCTTTAACCGCGTCCCTCAGCCGGAGTACCGACAGCTGCTGGTGGAGGCCATCCTGGTGCTCACCATGCTGGCCGACGTGGATATCCCGACCATCGGCTCCATCATCCACGTGGAGAAGATCGTCCACCTCGCCAACGACATGTTCTACAAGGATCAGGTGACTTCAAAAGACAACAAATCCAGTGTTTTAATAGTTTTATTATGTGATTAAGTAAGGCAGCATGTTTCTTGTTCCCTCTTCCACCTCCCAAGACGGACCTGGGAGCAGAGGAGCACATCCTGGAGAAGGACCCGTCCACCGGCGTGTGCAGGCTCCTGTACGACAGCGCCCCCAGTGGCCGCTTCGGGAGCATGACCTACCTCACCAAGGCCGTGGCGGTGTACGTGCAGGACTTCCTGCCCAGCGGGTCGTGCGCGGTGCAGTGAGAAGGGGGTCGGCATGTGACACCAGATCAGGGGTGAAACCACTCAGTAGAAAACGATAAAGCTAAACTTTGCAGCATTTTTTCACATTTAACAAAGTAGCAGATTAACAGCACATGAGTAGATATCGTCACTGTGTGTGTGTGTGTGTGTGTGTGTGTGTGTATGTATGTGTGTGTGTGTGTGTGTGTGTGTGTGTGTGTGTGCAGAGTGAAACATGTTACAGTATTTTATTTATAGGCTTTATGTGAGAATCTGATCAGACTTTTAACAACAAACTCACAGAAAATGTCAATAAATTAAAGGTTTTTTTAGATAAAAAGTACTGTGTGCATCGAAGGGAAGCCCTCAATGTTTTTGCCGTCCTGGTCTCCATGGCAACCTCATATTTGCATCACCAGACAGCAGTCAAACAAAGTGGTTCAGCGGCTCTCGTCCCTCCATCTCAACTTCTGACTGTGTGGCTTAAAAAAGGGCTCCACCGAAAAAAAGAACTATTTTCTCACACAGTAATACTCGTTTGGTGCTTTTACTGCAGCGGTACGACGACGCAGAATAGTGCTAATCATCTTAATGAAGGAGCATGTTTTTTTTTTTTAGATCAATTAACAACAAAACTCTCTGGGGCAGAGGAATAAAATACATCAGGGTATGGATGCATATCGAGGAATCGAGGACATTTGTTGTACAACACGAGGCTGAATAACAAAATAAGAGTTTGTGGTTCCTTCATGCTGTACACATAGAAAAAGAGATTCATAGAGTAACACAGAGTTGTGTTCTGGTCTTTTTATGGCATTTGTTGACAATAGGAAAAGATAATCACCACACTTATTCTATTAAAGTGAAATAAAAGATTCATTTTCAATCCTTTTCCGTACATGTCCTGATGTAAAAACTTTTATTTTTTATCTCATGAGTCCAGAAATATACGTTTTGTTTCCTGAAGGAACTTCCTCCATTGATGAATCGAAAAAACAGGTATTAGTTTAATACAAACATCCATATAAAGAGGGGGGGGCACTAACAATGGTTGCCTGGTTAGTGCACCATGTAACCATGGTTACCAGTCAACCAGTCAGCATCACTTAGAATCGTATACCTGTCTTCAGCAGTGGGAAAATAATTGTTTTCATCTCGGTCTTGACTCGGTCTCTCTCTTTGGACTCTACTAGACCTGGTCTTGGACCCAATAAAGGTTGTCTTGGACTACAGTTTATTTACAGCAAGTAACCACTGACTCATAGGACTTTTCAGCAACAATACGCACAGTTTTTATACCTTTGTTTTCCACCGAATCGTCATCAGCTCTTCTTTAACTTCAGAGACTCAAAAACAAATCGTTATAATTCTTCTAATCGAGCCTAATTTATTACCACGCGTGCTTTTCACTGCCGCTCGCCTCAGTTTACCTCCGATCCTACACGCTGAATATTAAATCTATTATTTATTTTATAGTTCTCAAATGATAATTAAAGAAGCTAAAACGCCTTAAACACTGCTGCACTTACAACGAGTGAAACTACAGGGCTGCTGTTTTTATAGCAGATTGTGTAGTGATTCTTTTTTAACATAAAGAGCTTTTATTGTGTTTGTTGGAGAGTTTTCAGCATGCAGTGCACTTAAACTGTACTCGTATAAAACTACTGTTATGTTTGAATGCAGTGATTTCTAAAGTCTGTTTAATTTGTGCAATTCAGATTTCTGTCCTCTTAAGAAGGGAAACGCCTTAATTTAATTTACTGCTATTTAGTTTGACTTATTTTAGCATAACTGCAGTAAAACTTTTGGCCATTTACGCACATCTGTTGTTTTACATTTTTAAGGATTCTGTGAGAAAACATAAAGATGTTACAGAGAATAAATGAAGTTTCAGCTAAAGGTATTTGAAACGTGTGAGCGCCACACTCCACGTGAACTACAAACGGTCACTTCTCGACGTAACATTAAAGCCTGAGAACAGAATCACTGAACTACCGTACTGTCGGATGTTTTTTGTTGTTTTTGAAACTAATTCTGTAATAAAACGGAGAAAATATGTTGTTTCTGAGCTTTTTCTGACACAAATTCTACTCAAAAACATGTTTTTTCTTCTTGTTTCTACAGTTGGAGCTGGAGTAGATGACTTTTTATGGATTTTTAATAGGAAAATTATACTTTTTTTTTTATGCAGACACACATTATTGTTCCAAGCAGGCTATTTATATATGAAATACTTTGGTAGGTTTCATTACAGTTGCTCAAGTTGTTAAAAAAAGACTTTAAGTAATAGAAATAATAAGAACATTAAAATATGTGCATTAAATTACAATATATATAGAAAATAAAGATATAAGAGTGTAATATTGTATATGTATGTACATTATATTACAGTAGATAACAATATATAGAAAATAAGTATAGTGTATAAGAGAAAACTTTATTTCATCTGGACTTCTTGACCTTGTGGGCCTCAGATGGATAAATCCAGGAGAGAGGAGAGAGTAACGATGACGAACAAACCCTGTTTTTGGTGTTTTTAAACCCTCCAGAAACTCAAAATATAAACAGAATAGAATATTTAAAAAAAAAAACTTTTAATGCCATTATTTATAAACTGAATGATTTACTATTAGGGGGGTTTCTTGGCCCCTTAAAATGATGAAATATATGAATGAATCTGAATTTAAACAACTTTTATTGTGCAAACAGCAACATATAGTTAAAACAAATTTAGAGAAACTCAAGAAACAAACAAGTTACAGCAGTTGTGCACTTATATGATACATTATATTATATCTTAAACCAGACCTATAATCACAATAAAGGCTGTTTAAAGATTTAAATGTTTGGGTTAAAGCATCCAGCAGGTGGCACAATATATTTATACTAATTCCAGTGTCATTATAACTTAATTGTTCCCAGTTTGGGGTCATTCTTAACATTTTATCTGCTTTATGGAGAGATTTTACAATAATATGATCAATGTTGAGATTTAAGTGACAATAGTAAAGTTTTTTTTTATTCTTTTATGCTTTGTTGTATTGTTTCCTTATGTTTTTTTGACTATAATATCTAATAATATTTAAATCTGTAGTCTTTCTTTGGCTACCGAGATGCTGTATTCCAGTTTTCTTGCAGCGATTGTAATGTTTAATCTTTCCTTATTTTAGTCCGTTGCTGTCCAGTGTTACAGGGGAAGGTTTTGGTTAAATGATGTGTTAGAGAAGTGTTAAAGTTGGTATTTTTGCCTTTATTTGATAGCAGACAGTAGAAAGGAGACAGAAAATGAGGGGGGAACATTATACAACAAAGTCCAAACCAATGACGGTATATTTAAACCAGAGAAGTTGCTATTACATGACAAAAAAAGGAAGTAATTTTACAATATTAATATAGAAATTAAGTACCATTTTGCCAATATTAAGGCCTCATAAAAATGCTAAGCTATTTTAAAACATAGTTTTTATATCAGATATCATCACAAGTTCAAAGTTTAAACCACAAAAAAACACAAAAACAGTTTGAAAACATCTAATTCTTATTTATTATCTGCAGAAAACTGTCAATACTTTTTGCCTGTAGAGGTCTTGTCCTCTTCAACTCGTGTCTCTGAACCAAAGTTGAAACCAGATAAGGAATGTTATAACCGCCCAGGGGAGCTATAACTGAATATTAAAGCTCTATTGGTTTCTATCTCTGACATGTGTGAATATCAGCAGAAGGGGGTCAGAGGTCTGGGAGTTGGCTGGGGCTTATCTTTCTGTACATTTTATCTCCCTGCAGGATTAACCTTTGTCTAAAAACCGCAGCATTTAAAGACTAAAAACGTCAGCGTCCTTAGTTTTATTCATTCACTTAAACATTAATAGTTTGTGGTCCTAAACCAAGAAAAGATTAATAAAGACAAAGCTAACACTCTGAATTAAATATATAAATAGTATATTAGCATTGCCACTGCAAGCGTGTTAGTGCAACCTCATAGAGCTTCTAGCATAGCATCCACATTATATTGGATTATTATTATTAGTAGTTAACATGTAACATTAAAAACTTCAACTGTTGCTATAGGTAGGAAGAAATTGGACAAACATAAAGTCACTGATAGTTTTTAGTTATTATTTTCACAGCAATTCATTCACTAGTTGTCAAGAGTTTGCAGGGAAATGCAAGAAATAGATCTAATTCCTTAAAAAAATAAGGAAAGTAGGAACTAGGTTTTATTTAAATACGTTTAAAATTAAACAAAAACTGAAGTTAAACAGCTTCAAAGGAGAAAATATTGAGTAAAAAAGGTGAATATCATGTTAAACTTTGTAGCGTGGAGTTCAAAGTTCACTGATGTTAAACACAAACAAACTATATGACCCTGGGTTGGTTATATAAACACAACAGACAGGAATAAACCCAGACAGGCTCTGTGTGCAGGCCTGAAAATATTGACTCCTGACACTGAGAATAAGCACACACACACACACACACTTATATAATGTTTATTAATAATCAATGAACGATCAATGATTCATCTGTCTGAGTTTTAACTAAAACATCTTCAGATGTTGGATCAGAAATTTAAATGTTAAACATGTGACCCAGTTTGCAGCAGTCAGCAGTACATCAAGTGTCATAGATCTACCAATTGCACGATCAATTAAAACGATTTCTCAACATCAGGCTGTAATCAATTACAGATACAGAGAAGAAAAAAAAAAAACATAATCAGATTACAGTTACATTTGGTAAAAATGGGGATTATTTAGCAGGATTATAGTTTAAAACACGTCAGTTTTTCTTTAAAAATACACAAAATCTTAATTTTTTTGCTCTATTCTCTTATTTTGGTATATTTGGTGTTGAGTAACGTAAAGTAATCAGATTACATTATTTTAATATTGTGACACTTGGACTAGGTTACTGACTGCATTTTCTTTACAGGTAATTAGTAATTGTACATTTTATAAGGGCACACGAGTAATTATGTTTATAAAAAGTTCTATAAAACTATCAAGAAAACTGATCTGAGATTAAATATTGGTATTTGGGTTACTTGCTAGCAGAGTATAATATAAAATATACTTAAAATATGTAATTGTAGGCTCCCTTAAGGCTTTTCTATCATTGAGTAAACAGACAAATTTAATATATTATTTCATATTTGAATGAATTTTCACAATTCTGTCTTTATTATGTTATTTTATACAAACTTATAATACAAATTCAGTGTTTTAAAACGGTGAGATAGCCCTTATGTGTCCACAATATCTGCTGACTTATTTATTGTGTGTGATCATTTTAAAGGTCACATTATCCCCAGACCGGTTGGCCTTGTGGAGGAACTGGATGGGGACGATACTGAGGTAAATATTGTCGTCTTCAGTCTGTTATTCTTCTACCCTCTCATGTATATATCCTGCGTTTTGAGGTCCTCGGACTGAACAAAGTGGCGGCGAATCACTTCCAGAAAACGCTGGGAACATTTTGCGCAGTCGACCACGTTCGCCCTTCGGACCAAACACTGCAGAGTACAGCTCGTGCTGTTTTAAATAAATACATATTTTTATCTGTGATTTGTGGCAGCTCACAAAAAGGCAAAGTCAGCAGCCTGCTTCTTAAAAAGGAGACATCTGAGAGTACGGTGGCCAGGAGGTGTCCATAAAATAAAATGTGGGCTAATTTGATGTCCCTCACGAACCCACATCTGCCAACATCCACATAAATAAAACTGTAGCAGCTCTAAGCAGAGACTTGTTGTGAACCCAAACTGTAGACAGAAGATAAGAGATAACAAAACTGAAAGTTCCCAAAACAGACTGTGGAAGCAGAGGAAAGGTTGAGGCGTTTCATAATGGAGTTGATAAAACTCTGTGATCCTAACAGCAACCTACTTTAAAGAATACCAAACGCCTGTGTGTGTGTGTGTGTGTGTGTGTGTGTGTGTGTGTGTGTGTGTGTGTGTGTGTGTCTTTATTGCTCCCAAAAATACCAAAATACCACCAATACGTCTGTGTGGGGGGCAAGTTGGCCCGTCCAGCTTTGTATGAAGAACACTGTGTGCGAGGCGAGAGCGCCAGATGACTCCTGCCCAGACAACGCGTGATGGATGGTGACGGTGGAGAAAGCAGCCAAGTTCGACATCGGGCCAACGGGAGCATGAACTCGCCTCAGTAAACACTCAGCGGGGTCATAGTTGATCCGTGAGGAAAGCTTCGGCGTGCTGTGATTTAACTCTGAAGACGATTGGGTGATAAGAGCGACCGATTTCGCCTCCATTGGGTGAAATTCTGTAGATTTCAGACATCGTCAGCAGTGTAACTGGGTCTAAATAACTTGTTAAAGTACTGGATGAGTTAGTTCAACTCAAATTCTCAACAATTTAAGCTTTAAAAAAATATAAAATTTGAGTAGAAGTAGCTCAAGTATTTATTGTTAAGGTAACTAAAACTTAAAACTAAGTAAGTTACACTCATATGCAACTAAAATGTGTTTTTTATTTGAATAAAGTAACTTTAATTTATCTTCTTTATACAAATGTTACCACTTAAATACAATTTTCTTTCTTTTTTATAAATTTTTATAACATTACCTGTTCGGGAGGATTAAGTTGTGTCAGCTTACTTCATTTATTAAAATATATTGTTGGGATTTACAGTGTATGTAACGTGTTTCAACTAGTATACAGCGTGAGCTTACTGTGCATACTCACCTGCCCCACAATGCATGGACTATGAAGGCCTTCTTGATTTTAAGGCCTGTAAGAAAACTTAAAACAAAAAAAGTAAATGCAAAATAAAAGGAAATTGTCTGATCTAACAACTGCCAAGTGACAGAAAGAAGGAAAACACTGAATTTGTCAAACAAAAAGCAGATTAGATATGTAGGATTGTTGAGAATTATAAAGAAAATTACATAATATAGACAGATAAATATACAAAAAGCTCCCTTAACAGGAAGTTATCTGCTTAAAATACATCCAAATTACTCGTTTAACACAAACATCTTGCAGTTCGTTGTACAGTTGTGAATATAATATGAAATATCCATAATATATGTCTCTTAGTCAGTTTATTAAATGATAGAAAAAAGGGTCCTTTCAGTAAAAAATGTTGGGAACCACTCTTGTAGGACACTAAGGAAGCTGGCTGCAGGGATTTGCTCCCATTCAGCCACAAGATCATTGATTAGTGAGGTCTGATGTTGAGCGATAAGGTTTGATTTGACCCAAAAAGTGTTGGATGGGGACGTTAATGCCTGTCTGTGCCCCAATATTTACACGCCCATCTCCCAGAAACAAGGTCCAACATCCCTTCCGGCTCCAGACTGTTGAAGGTTCACTGAGGTCTTAGTACTATTAACATATCGCCTCATTAAAACAAAACAAATACTTTAACTTACAAGTAGTTATTTCTATCAAAATCTCTCTGGTCTTGTCCTCTCATCTTGTTGTTTCCATTATCTTCCCTTCCTGTTCGTCTTAGACTTAACGGATCTAAAACAATCGAACTGAAATGTGCGTGTAGTTCTCATGTAAGGTTAAATTATTCTTCTCGAAACCCGGTCCAATAAGATCTCCAGCTCTCTCTCTCTCACACTTGGCTCGCCTCCGTCGGTTGTGAAACACTGAACGTCTGAACGCCAACAGCTGTTTATGACTTTTGAACACAGATTTCAGTTCGGATCAATCATGAGTCATGAGAAAGCGCTGTTTTTATTTTACAGTGCTGCAGATGTGTTAAATTAGTCAAAGAAGTAAATGTGTTTCAGATTCAGATTCAACAGGATCTGCTGAGTGAGCTGCTTCTTGTTTCCAGGCAGCTTTTGTGTTAAAGTTTCCCGACTCCAACATTCCCAGGACACAGCGTAGGGAATCGAAAGAAACCTGATCAATAAAAGTGGATTAAGGTATTAAAAGATCAAATCCAGGTGTTGTCCGAGTGCTACGGGTGATATAATGTCTGATGCACGTCAACAGAGCAACCTCTTAGGAGTGGGAATTGATCAGACTTTATTGATACCGTTATCGATTCTGCTTATCGGTCCGGTTCATTCGCTTATTGAATCCTGATCAAGTTTCTGTGTGGGACAAAAGTGTCAGCACAAAGGTTTGCAACTAGTTTGAGTTTGTGTCCAACTGAACAGATGCCGGATAAAGGAATTGATCGATGGATCGGACAATACTGGAACCGGTTCTCGAGGTTAGGTTCTCCACGACAGGTGAAGAAACTCCAAAGATCTGGACTATAAATGCACCTTTTTCTCAAACTACCATTTTTCAATTAACTAATTATAATGGTCATTAGAGACAGTCGTACAATTAGGGAATAGAATAAACACTATAAATGTGAATTAATAACAATTTAACCAGATTTGAGCGATCATTAGGCTCGTTAGAGATGAACTGCACATCGTCTGTAAAGTGGACGAGATCAGGCGGCAGCAGCAGCCTTTAAAGAATAAACAGGAAGTCACAGAAATGTTTACATCATCTTTACACCTTTACACCTGTAGTTTTTAGACCATGTTCGGATATATAAATAAACTTTATTCTAACTATTATTCACACAAGATCTGTTTGTTAGCAGATTGAACCTCCATTGCACATGAGACATGAAACAGCGACAACCTAGAGATAAATATTAAATTCACACAGAGAATTTGGTGTTTGTGGTCAAAACTAAGAGCCAATCAGCTCTTTGATCAGGCGTTTACCATCATGCCCTGCAGGTCAAGCAGTCGGTGGAGAGCAAACTGCTGCATCTGGCTCTAAAAACTTGGATCTGGTGAGGTTATATTTCCACTTTCTCCCACAATTTCATTGCAAAAAAACACGTCAACATGCAGCAACCTTCCCCCCTAAAAAGAACTCTGAACTCCTGGAGAGACCGACGCTCTAAATAGCTGTTAATACTCGCTAGAGAAACAAACGTGTATTCATCCGCAGCTAAAAGTAGTCCCTGTAACGACGTCTTCCTGAAGTCGGGTCGTCAGAGAGATTCAGCTCACCTGGTGTCAGTCAGCCATTTATTGTTGTTAATGTGCCTGTTTTTTTACTTTTTTAATGTATTTTTATTTGCTGTTGATGCTTTAATTTGAACTCTGGTTGTTTTAAACTGTATAAATAAAGTTGATTTGTTTTCTCTCTCTCTTCCCTGACTTAATTCCCCTTTTATTCATGTAAAATAAACTGATTTTTAGTTACAATGCATGTGTGTTTTCCCTTCTTATGTCCACATGTTTGCGAAAAACTACCATACCCAGTTGTTTTAGGACATTTCTAAGCCTTTTTTTAAAATAAACTATATATTTGTGACCTGTTGAAGGATTTACGTACACAGTAGGAACCAATATATAGAATAATTCCAGATATATTCCTATTTCTACACTATTCCTACTTCTTCCAGATGATTTTTCTTGCCCATAACTGTCCAAACTATGACTAACAAGCAGGAATTAATGTGTACATCGTCTGACTCCTTCAGTTATTATTAAAACCATAAACTAAAACACAAAATCAGTCACAGAAGACAACCAAATTTCGACTTTTCCCCAAAGATTTATTCCACTTTTTCCTCCCCTCCAGCCTTCTACATGTAGGTAACACCTTACATACAGTAGACAGAACACAGTACAAAGATAATTTGGGTTTTAAAAAAAGTGCAATCCTGCTCAAACATTTCTCAAACATGCTGAGTGTACGAAAATATCAGCAACCGCCTGCTCTTCTGTGCATGAAGTAAACGATGCAGGCGAGTATCAATTTGAGGAGATGGATGTGCAAAAAAAAAAAAAAAAAGGATATTTGTTAATTAAGATTGAGCAAGTGAATGGATAAAAGTTCAGTCCAGTCAGAATGATTGATTATTCTAAAACAAACCATTTAAAAATATCCTGAACAAATACATATATATATATAGTTAAAAATGAAGTTGGAAATTGGTACATTATTTCAAACAAAGGATAAAATAAATAAAATCAGTATGCATGCGTCGCTATATATCGTGAATAATGTGATGAATTTGAAGCTCATGCAACTTTTCAGAGAAGAATAAAAACCAAAATAAAAACACTTGAGGATGCTCGAGTATCGCGTCAGTATTTTGTAACCTCTGCTCCTTCTCTTTCCCCTTTTTACTCCATTTGAGTTTGACTCGGAGTCGGTGAGTCGGAGGCGGCTGATCGTACAGTTTACATGATTGTTTGGGTGCTTTGTTGAGGGGAAATCAAGCATGTTGTTTGGGGGGGTGTCTAAGGCTGGTTTGATACCAACGACTCGACAATCACCGACAAATCTGGAAGTCGACACTGTGCGGTGCGTTTGGATCGACTCCATTGTCGAGTCGCAGACTGAAAGTGGTTTTAAAAGGTTCAGCTATGACTGATCGACGCCTAATTTGTGGTACTGCTGCTCTATTCCTGCTGGTTATCAATACATTTTGATATATAAGTTATAATGTAGCTCAGGGATCAGCAATCTTTAAGCAAAAGAGCAATTTTTGGCCAAAAAAAGAACATATTTGAGCCTTATCATGCAAATATTTTCGCCGTAGAATAAGCTTAGCAAATGTGTCCACGCCTTTTCTTATTGTAGATTGAGAATCCATAGCTAGCCTAGTTTAGGTGATTCAAGGCTAATAGCCAACGCTATTGAGGTTCGGCGAAATATAGAGGAAATGGCGCCTGCTAATGGAGGATTTTAATAGACGAAATGTTAATTTTTGTGTGTAATGGCTGCACATTTTTCATAGTTGGAGAATGCAAGAATCACTTTCGTCCTACAGCAACGATAAATGAAACTGAAAATGTAAAAAAAAAAAGAGCTGTTATTAATTTCCATATAAGTATAGGAGGGGCTAAAGAGCTGCATGTGGCTCTGGATCCGGTTGTTTACTCCTTCAGCTGTTAAATATGTGTCATTTTATCCAGTTCTTGGGTTTAGGATAAACATTTTGCTATTAATAATGAATTAATAACTAAACCTAAACCCTCTTTTCGGGGCCTTAAAGGGGCAGCGCGTGTCTCCATGTCGCACATTATCAGTGGAATGATTGGACTCTCTGAAGACACATTCAAGTGATAACTTATCAAACACGATGCGAGGCGGTGAAATATTTAAAGGTCAGGAGCTTTTTTTTTTTTTTTGAAGGCTCATGCTGCTGCCTCGCTCCGTCTATTAAGAGTGGCAAAGTTACCAAAAAAAAATAATTACATGCCTCAACAGTTGCGCAGCTCTATTTTTAAAGCGTGTTAATCATTTTTAAAACATTGTTTCAAGGCCTGGCTTCACCAGTTATCAAGCTATGAGGACATCAGACTTGCGGAGGCTGTAACTGGCAGGCATAGCAACATGTTCTTATTGTGAATCGTCGCAGTTGCTTTGAGTTCAGGGCTGAAAGATTTTGGTCCATAAAACAGTACAAAACACATATTTTTAAGTGGTTTTCACCCTTTTTTAAAAACCACTGAGTATAAAAGACTAAATGATGAAGAAGTGTAGCAGTGATTCCCCTTCGACATGCTGCTTAAATGAGTATAAACATTTAGATATTATCAGAAACGTATTGGAACATATAAATATTAAAAAAAGAAAAAAAAAGCCTGGATGAGTGCATATCTCCAGTTCTGAGAAGGATTACGGCTGTACAATGATGTAAACACGCTGGTTGAGTCCGGGGACGTCTAGTAGTTCACGGTCTCTGAGGGGCCGCGGTGGCTGGCGGAGCAGTGTCCCGCCCTAAAGGTGATGATGAGAAAGACCAAGACAACAATATGTGAGACAAAGTTCTCACTGAAACTTCATTTCTGGGAAGTTTCCCACCAAACACTGCGGTTTGTTCGAATCATTTGTTCGATTTTTTTGTGTTAAATTTATCTGCAGGCGGGCAAACAGTGGACAAAAAGATACAAGAAATAACCTTCCCAATAATAAATCAATAATAAATACATTCTCACACACTGTATGAAATCAGTCCCTCTGGGATTTTACAGGCTTGTTGTGTTTGCGGATTTCATTTCTAATGCACATTTTTAACCTCATATTGTCGGAGAAAGTAGTTGCCTTTTTTTGTATAATAATTATCACAACATCACAACATAAAACGTGATTACTCACCAATCAGAATTCATCAATTATCTGTTTTTTTACATTTAATTTAGCTTCTTGAGTGCAAATCCCTCAAATTTGTTAATTTTCCCCCCCTTTTCTGTTTACCTGCAGATTCCTGTGGAGCATTCGTAGTTGTTCTGGCAGTAAGCTCCAAACGGTTTACTGTTCATGATCCTCCACAGCGGGGTCATCCGAGCTATCCTCCTCAGTGTGCGGACCCCGTTTGAGGCTCCCCTCTGGTCTGGGCTGGACTGGACCTGCGCCACTAGTGGACCTGCACACACCTGGTACAGAAAAGGTGCAGAAATGTTCATTAGAAGACCAAAAAAAAGCAAGAAAAACGAGGTATAAATGGTTTTTATTTGTATTGAATGAGAGGGCGTTCTTGAGTGGGTTGTAAGGGGTCCCCAGCAAAAGGAGGAACAGAATATTTTAACTTTAATCAAATTTTTTTTTTGATTATATATTATATAATTTCTAGTGATCCCAGTTGGATGATTGATTAACCATGAAGAGGTGATTCCTTAAGACAAAATCCTCTCAAAATATGCAACAAAGCATTAAAAAAGTCAAGAAAAAGCCTCCACTTATTAGCTTTTTCCAGAGCTTTCTACCACATTTGATCATCAGCTAGAAAGTGGACCTTGAGGGGGAAATTTTACACTTTACACTTTTATTATCTGCCAGCAAACTGCATAAATGTGTTTATATTTGCAGTACTTTCTTTCCTACGTCCACTAGTTTAATCTAAAACATTTAACACGATAAAACTTCTTTTTATTGGCATTTTCTCTTTAAAACACCCTGCCAGCTCTACATCTCCTTGGACTTTAATCTGAATTAATATGTTTTGGGGTTTTTTGGTTTTTTTTTTACAGCATCAAGCATGCAAGAGAGAAGAAATCCATCCTACACAACTTCAAATTAGTACAATGCCACTCACCTGCTGAGCCAGCACAAGCAGCACAAAGCACAGCGCTACTGCTGCTCTCCTTTGGGTGAAGAAGCCTGTTTCCTGCATCTCTACAGCCTTGAGTAAGTATGATCTCAACCAGCGAGGTTCGCCACTGATCTGCAACACTTTTCTGGAGGACTCGACTCAAGCTCTGTCAGCTTCTCTCTGCACTTCAATCTTCAGCCTCCAGCAGCAAGTCAGGTTTCACTCAGGTTTCAGTCTTCAGGTTTCTTTAGTTTAGTCGCAGGGTTTTACTGGAAGTCTCTTCAAGCCAGCCTGACTCAGCAAAGTCAACTGTGGCACCGGCTCTCCTTTATATAGACGGGGCCATGATCCCAGGAGGGAGAAAGCAAGAGGGAGGGAGAGAGAGAGAGAGAGTCACAGTCCATGATGTGTGTCGTCCACCCCTTTCTTTATCTCTCTTTTCTGGCCCAATGTGAAATTATATGTTTGCAGAAAACCTCTCACAGTTCCCCAAAAATGAGGCCATCTAAGTCTTTTTCTGTCTGTCTGTCTGTCTGTCTGTCTGTCTGTCTGTCTGTCACACACACAAACACACACTTTCTCTCTTCTACTTCTACTTCTTCTTTCACATGTATGTGTGCAGAAAACGTGAGCACCAGGTGGAGCAGACGCCCGCCGCACACGTGATCGTAAAGTAAATGAACGGCAACAGACAGAGAAACAGCTGAGTAAAAAAAAAGAAAAAAAGGGGGGGTTTAAAGAGACAAAAAGGTCACTGGATATATATGTACTGTGTGTGTGTGTGTGTGTGTGTCAATGCCACAGTGTGTGTGTGTGTGTGTGTCAATGAACTTGCAGTGAGATAAGGGCTTTATCAATCTGCAGCGTCTGTGTGCCGCAAGTGTATCTTTGACTGGTGACGGCCCAGACCTGACGCAATCCTACAGCCCCACTTATACAACGTAGACGGGATATAGGGAGACAGCAGGTATATCATACACACTCACTACGACCCATTAGTGTATAATCACCTTAAAATAAGAATTGTTGTGTTTTCCTTAGAATGAGACGTTTTTATCTACGGATGGAGCGGGTCCTCTTCTGTGGAGGTCGCCATGTTTAACTGCCATGTTTCTACAGTAGCCCAGAACGGACAAACCAAACACTGGCTCTAGATACGGTCTTATTTTTCTTCACAATTCAGGACAGCACTTGCTCACAAATGGTCATATAATTAACTGGTAGGCCGAGTATTGACACATTTAACTCCAGTTTTCACACAGTTTATCCAACCAACAGTCGGGTTTTGAACAAAATACACCACCATATGTGTTTATGTTGGAGAGTGAGCGGGTAAAATACAATTTTCCAGCATTTTTTGGTTAATTTCCATGACTGGAAAACTAGTCTCTAAATTTCCAGATCATCCAGGATGCATGGGCACACTGCAAAAGTGATTCATACTTACTCCAGTTGTAAAAATGTGTGGCCATTACACACAGAAATATCATACATTACACTCTGACCTCGAGCCTTTTCCTCTATATTTTGCAGAAACTTGTTGTTGAAAAGTCTTGGAGAAAAACATAGAATGTAATAGTTTTGCTTTTTTAAAGTGTTGTTTAATGACGACATGATGAGAATCACACCTGTACTGTGAACCTGGAGGGGGTTATAAAAGACAGACGCCTGCACACAACGTGGTTGGACATCGTCAACTGGGTTAGTAACACAAAGGTGAGAATGACAACACTTTTACAGGACACGTGTTCTCAAAAAAAATCAATAAACAGCATTTCATTTCCTGCTGGATAATGATGTAATTTTGAAAGGAATCTTCGTGGGTCAGAAGGTCATTAAACGTGCCTTCCTAGAAGACGTTAATTAAGACCTTTCTGTCCATTTGTCCAATCCAAATGTAGGTTTTCAAGGGGCAATTCAGGTCAGCCTGGAAGAGACGAGGAAGTTTTTATCCCAAGAAAATGAGCCCCGGCCAAGACCGAGAGAGCTGCATGTTAAAGACAAGCTCACGACAAAAGTATGTTTAAACACTCGCTGAAACAGAACGAGGAAAGAGCACAGTTCAGACGCTCCCAGATGGATGTAATGGAAAATTCCTGCGCTGATTCCTGTAAGGTTGTTCGTCGCTGAAAGGCCTCCAGAGGAGCACGAGACTGACAGGAACTCCTCCCCCTCCCAAAGCATTACATAAACTCCAGAACATCTGCATCATATATCATCGCCGAGCCTGACTCATCAGATTGCGCCTGACGGGGCCGAGCAGCTGCAGAGCGATGGGGAGACATTTAAATTAAGTTTTTTCTCAGCCTGTCGTGCGATGATAATGAAGGACAGATGGACTCCTGCAACCGGTTTTAATATTTGAATCGACAAATGTGAAGAGTTTTTGTCATCCTGAGCATGAAAAGTGTCAAAAGAATATCAAGAATATAAAAAGTGGCATTTTAAAGAGTATATAACTTTATACAATAGACCTTCTTATTGGTTTATTTGCCCTTTTCCTGCAATTTAGTGCATAAAGTTGAAAACATTTTAAATAAAGCTAAATACCAAATAATTAATTTCTTTATAAAATGGAAAACGGATGGAGTTTAGATGCATGACAATGTATTTAAAATACAAAACTCCACTTCCTGTGACTTTTCCTGTACTTTATCAGATACTTTTAAAGGTGAACAAAGTGCAATACAGGCTCTGAAATGTACTCAAAGTAGTCTTTGTCGTGGGCGATGTGCCTTTTGTCTTGGCGTTTAAGAAGGCGTACAATGATGCAAAAAAAATACAAATTTCAAGTATCGAAGCTGTTATTTATGTAAAACTGTAGACGGCTAGAAGTAAAAAGTCACTACTTTGGCTCCTTCCAACCTCTTTAAATCTCTACATACAGTTTCTTTAATGATAATAGATTTAAAATACAAAACTCCACTTCCTGTGACTTTTCCTGTACTTAATCAGTTACTTTTAATGCAGTACAGGCTCTAAAATGTACTCAAAGTATAAAAGTTATAAAAGTAATCTCTTGGTTTCTCTGAAGGACATTTCTACCGACTGTTTCTGTTCAAAACTAACTGCAACTTCAAATAGTTTTGTCTATTAATTATAAGGCTGTCGTGCGCAATGTGCACCTGTGTTAACGTTTAAGAAGGCGTGCAATGATGCAAGTGAATTAAAACGTAAAAATGTAGACGGCTAGAAGTGCAAACTCACTACTTTGGCTCCTTCCAACCTCTGTTGGGATAAATAAAGTATCTATCTATCTATCTATCTATCTATCTATCTATCTATCTATCTATCTATCTATCTATCTATCTATCTATCTATCTATCTATCTATCTATCTATCTATCTATCTATCTACAGTTTCTTTAATGACTGAATCTGCCCCTCACGCTCACAGCTAAATGTTCAACTTTGATCGCAGGTAAAAGTCCACTGTCGTCTAATAAAGGATTAGACGACAGTGGACTTTTACCTGCGCTGCCATTGAACTTTCCAGCTGCAGCACATTCTTTCTTTCTTCACTCTTTATACTTTGCATAATGAAGGTCAACTCTCAGAGCTGAAGGTTCAGGCTTTGTGGAACGAGAGCACGGTCAGTCCACGATCTAAACCCCTCTGACCATCCAGTCTGAACTTTAAACTTTGATTGCTGTGAAGTAAGAGGGAATAGTTTCTCTTGGACAAACGGATCGAAGGACGGCTGCAGACATGACCTCATCCAATCAGTTTTCAGGCCGCATGCAGGACGGGGTGGATTTAACAGAAATGGGTTACCCAGAAAGTCCTATTAATGTGGCCAGGCCTTGAATCAAAGCCAATGATCCCTCTAGCAGCACGTATCTCTTATCTCTCTCTAATCTGAAGGAATTTTAGAATAAAGCAGGAACGTCTAGTTCGATACCAGGAACCTTATAGCTCTTTTAGCGGGCTGCTGTGTCGAGTTTCCTTCCTCATAAAATATTTAATCTATAAGATAAAGGTTTATTCGAGAGCGTATTTTCATTAAGAAATTGGCATTAAGCACTGAGCTCAGTGGGTTTTTTTTATTTTATTGGATTTTGGTTAGAGGTCTGAAATAAGGTCTGAAATAAACACAAGCTTAAGTTTTGTTTTGTTTGTCACATTTTGTTCTATGATGTAAAATACATCAGTACTTACTTTTCGCCTTTACAGCTTTACAGCTTATGTTCGAGCTCTTATTCTCACTCAAACTTTCCTACTTGTAGATTTTATTTACATTGATTTAATTACAAGTTGGATGTTGAGCGGTGCTGACGTTGAAGTTAAACATTCGCTTTTTACTTCAAAAATCGACCTACCGAAACTGAGAGTGCACTAATTACTTAATGTTTAAACATAAACTTAAGACGTGGCTTAATTCAAACCAAACGTGCATTCATGAGTCACTTTTGTGTTGCATTTATATATTATATTATACCGTATTGTTCTTGAAGCACTGTACTGACGATATTGGACACATTTTGTTATAACCTGCCCAGGGACTACGAATGAAAATGAGCTTATTTGCTAACTCTGGCACATTTACATTTAAGTGTTATATAGGCTGCAGTGTTGGTTAATGTGCATTGGCCAAAATCTAAAGCAGGAATCCCATTTACTTTTTGTCAAAGGAAGCAGGGCGATGCTAACTTGCACTCTGTAGGGAACAGACAGCTAATTCCAGCTATTGGCGTGCAGAACACAAACTCTGACACACAGCATACAGTAAAGGCAAACATTAGTGTGTGTGTGACTATAAATGACTCATTTCGTAACACACTTTCTCTCCACACAAGATCCAGTAATAGAACTCAGTAGTTCCTGCAGCAACCGACCTTTAAGGCCGCTTCAGTCGTATACAATTAGCCACAGGTCACTTCTTCCTCGTGTGACTCGTCCCTGTGTGATGGGAATGTGTGTGTGTTATTTGGGAACATCTGTCACAGGAGATTAGGGGTGAGAAGGACGAAACCAGACACACATGAAATCCCTGGAGCAGATAGACGGGGAGGTCCTGTAAAAACAGAGGATTTCCAGTCACTCTAGACACAAATGTTACCGTAACACATGAGCGTGGCAGATCCTCGGGCAAAGCAATACACGACTGTGACTGAATTAAACGTTCATTTCTTGCACGTCTTCTCATAAAATACACTTTTACCGCAACGCAAGTGAGGTAATTTATTATTTTCTGCCGCTTTTCGCCTGATTTGAACCATTTTCTGTTCAGTAAATTGTTATTTTATCATTTTAAAACACTAAAACAAGCTGCAGTTCAGATGAATTCATGCATTTTTAAAGAAAACATCACTGCATCTCTCTAAAAAAATGACTTATAGGCGTTACTTTAGAAGTCAGAAAGAATAAAATCGAACAATATTACTGCTTGAAATCTCTACAGTAAACACCTCAGTGATGTTTTTTTTCATTCAGTAGCTCAAAACAAGGCAAAAGTCCAGAAGTGTGTTGACTTTATTTTGAAAAAGAAATCCCAGAAATCTCTGCACGTGACAATAATCACCGTCTGAGTCACGCTGTCATTTATCAGCAACCTTATGAAGACTCATTCAAGGTCAAATAGCAACTCAGGGAAGTAAAACATATTTCCTGTAAACTCGTCTACTAGCTGCTCGATGCAATATATGTGAAGGAAGAACAAGTTTACGGCTGTATTGTTTGTTTTGATGATACATTAGTGCTTTTACACTCAACTCAGGTACTGTTAAACCTCACCATGCACGTGCAGTAGGACAACAACATCACCTACATGCTAAATATGGTCAAATTGAACCTGTTTGTGGCAACTTTAAGTCAAAATTTAGGCACATTAGTTGAAAAAAAATGACGAAAATGAGGTTTATTTATAGGTCGCAGCTTATCATGACCTGCTTCTTTGTGTGTACTTTGTGTGTGTGCGTGTGTGTGTGTTTCTGCACAACCCATGTTGAGGTCGATAAACACCGACCAAGGCATGAAACGTGTGTTAGTAATGTTACAGCCTTAGTTTTTAGGTTTTAGTCATCATTATTTTTATGTTATTTTTCTCCCTGGTGTTCATTTAAGTTTCTTTCTGTCGACTTTTATTCATGGATGTTTTAGATTTGATTGTTTCTTGTGTATTTATTTGTAATTTCTTGCAAATGTTTACTTATTGTTGTCCATTTTTAATGTTCTCTGACCCACTTACAGTAGCCGTCTCACACAGAGCAAAGTCCATTTCATTATGACGTCCATCTGTTCAATTTCATTCATTCATTCAACCACTTATTTAAATCTCAAACCAGTTTTAACAACAATCAAGAGAACAACTATACGGTAAGAAACAACAGCAGTTAAAAAGAAGTTACATTCAGGAGCGAACTGGTTTGTTATCATGGTTTTAAATCGACCTTTAGGTGCTTTAATTTTAACGTGTTGCATCAGAATTAAACTGTTTCAATAACGACTGCACTCATTTAAGGGAATCATTTGATCACATAACGCCACTTTCTCCCCTTTGCAAGCCGTAGTTTAGTACATTTCCTCCCTTTTAAATGACATTAACATCATGCTGCCTTCAGGTGACTGTTGTTGTGTAAATATGAGCAAAGTTCAATCATGTGAGCTTTAAGTTTAACCTCTACTGGATGTATTAGCTGGTGATAGGTAGCTCAGACATTTGCTTTAGAAAACGGAAACTGGCTTTATATATTAGTGATTAAATAATTAGTTTATTGCTTTCTGAATATTTATATATATATATATTTATATGAACTTTTGTAGTAAAACTTGCTTGTACTTTTACATTTTAACCCCACAAACTCATTCTCAACATTTGTTTCCTCATCACTTCTTCATTTTTTTGTATTTATTACGCTCCTGTGAGCATGAAAAGGCAAAAAAAAAAATAAAGGGGTGAAGAGAAGTCCATTGACAATGAAATCTGTGTCAAGGACTTATATACTCAGTTATCAGTAATCTACATACGTATGATCGACTGTTTGTGTCCACTTTGTGACCTTTTTCCTTCCTCAAAGGTTTCTCCTGATACTGAGGTCAAGGAGAAAGAAGAGGCAAATAATAAAATGGTGTTTAAACTAATAAAGGAAAACAAACCCACTTCTATAGATGGATGCAGGATTTATGTCTGATTGTGGGAAACTTTATGCAGCAAGTTTCTGTTCTTAGTGAAGAACGCCACCTGCTGGACTTTAATATTTAATGAAGGTTTTATTTTACAAGTCGAGCAGGAATCTCTTAGAAAATTATTGCTTGCATGAAATAAACGTTTAGAAATGGAGTTATTTAATTCTTTATGGTTAAAACTTTAACTTTAGTTCATATGATGAGTTAAACTACTTGAATTTCTTCAATTGTGACTTTCTTTATCCTTGTTTTTAGTGGTAAACTATGTATACATCTCAAGTTTATTTTATTTTTAGTGCATAAAAGTAGTACATTTCTATTTCCTTCTGTTTTTCCTTTCTTTAGTTGATAAAAACCCATTTTATCTGACTGATTTATAATTTTTTGGTGTCTTTATAAAGCCAGTTTGCCTTTTTAATCTCACCAGCACAATCCTTGGTTTAATCCTAATGTAATATGTTTATGTTGTGTTATTCTGTTCAAATAAGCTAAACCTATATTTTTATTATAGGACTCAATAGGGTTAAAAAATAAAAGGAATTATATTTAAAAAAAAATTAGGAAAACTAAATTATTACAGTAATTTTAAGTGACATAAACCTAATTTATTGATTTTTAATTTGTATTATGAAAAGCAAAATATTTAATATTTAATGTTTCTGTAACTTATCAAACTGAGTTAGTGTCACTTAAAATCAGATTTTTTGAGTTATAATAACTTCTCTCTCATTGCAGTGTAACTCACATAATATCTTTTACAGTTTCCTGTACTTTGTTGACGTTGAAGGAGTTAAATACTGTAAGTATTCACTGGATGAGAAGCCCAAACCACTTTCATGTCCGCTCGTTAGCTTAGCATAGTTTAAATACTGGAGACAGCAGGAAGCAGCTAGCTTTGATTGGGACTACATTACCCAGCATTCAGCAGTGGCTCCTGGAAGTTACTGATGAACAACAATCGGCACATAACTCGCCATAAAAAAACAGCAAGTCGTCGTTGAGAACCTCAAAAAAATAAATAAATAAAGACCAGTGTGTTGGATTTTAGTGGCATCTAGTGGTGTAGTAGCAGATTACAACACCCTCACTTCACCCTCCTGTTCCATGCTTATAGAAAAAACTATGAAACAATAAAAAAAAACCAAAAAAACCCAAAAAAGGCCCCTATCTAGAGCCAGTGTTTGATTTGTCCATTCTGGGCTACTGTAGAAACATGGCAGACTCTGTATACGCTAATAAAAACGTATCTATGAATATTTTATTTCCCTTTCTGCCAATAGATCCTCCTAAATGTCACACACTGGAAGCTAAATCTTGATCTTGAGTAGTTTTAAAAGAACAAAATCCATTTTTCAACATCAAAAATGACAAATAAGGTTTTTTTTTTTTTTTTTTAGAAAACATGCATTTTATTTTATTATTCATTTTCACTCGTAATAAAAATTGCATTCCTTGCCACTACAACACCAGTGTTAGTTTTCTTTAACATCCAACACTGTTGCACCTCTTCCTAATGCTTCATTTTGTGATTTTTTTATTATTATTATTTATTTTTAAAGACAGGCCAGTAGCAGCACCTGCAGTATTTTACCTCACATTATAAATATGTACAAAATGCAAAAAGGTTACACTGTAAACAGCAAAAAAAACAACAAAAAAAACAACATTAGTGACCATGAATATCGCACATTCACCAATCTGCACAGTGCTTTTAAAGAGCTCACAGAATAATAATCTGTCTCATCCAGCAGCTGCCTTTCTTTAAAGTGCTTTAACAGGAACGGCGAAGACCTGAAACCACAACAACAACTTCCTCCTTCCAGTCTCGAGCTCGTTGTGGTTAACTGCCAAGCTGTAGATCAAACAAATGACCCATCAAATCTGCCCTCCTTTTATTTTTAAAGTCCATTTTTCTTCAGCGTGTTTTCTTTAGCGACACGTGCACGACTCGGCCACCATGTCCTCCAGCTCCCTGTACTCCACCTTCTTCTTGTGCACCACCAGCACGCTCATGGGCATGTACTTGTACGGCACGCAGGACGGAGGGGGGACGTCCCCGACGCCCAGGTCGTTGATGACCGTCTGGATGATGGCGTGGTTGGGGGAGTGGTAGCCGTAGTGGAGCACCCGCGGGCAGTTGCCCTGGCAGAACCGCGGGTTGTACACCGGCGGCGCGATGAAGTAGTGACTCCAGCCGAGCTCGTCGAAGGAGAGGCGGAACGAGTGGAGCTTGCAGCGGTTCTTGGGCGCGCCCGTTTTGCGCTTGTAGTCGGGGATGTCGGAGATGATGGAGGCAGAGGGCGAGCTGGAGAAAGAGGAGGAGGAGGAGGAGGAAGTCGGGGCGTTTTTCAGAACGTCCAGCGAAGAATCTTTGGGGTCTGAGCTCGAAACGTCTTTGGAGCGGCGGTGGCGGCGGCGAACCGAGGGATGCCACTGCTCTATTCGCCTCATGATGTCTTCCCCTTCGGTCCCCAGCAAGTCCCCCATCCAGTCCTTCACCTCCCTCTCCTCCTCCAGGTACAAAAGAAGAGACGGGACTTCCAGATGAGGTTCGCCTCGCCATCTTTTTCTCCCGTGAAGTAAAGCCCACCACCAAGAGGGGCCGTCGTCCTCTTCGGCGTGCCCAGGCTCGGTGCACCAGTACTGGGCGGTGAGGGTCAAGTGTCCCCCCGCGCCCTGGTTCTTCCCCTGCTGGACGTGTGCGGTGATGTCCGTCTCCGTCCAGCGCTCGTGGGGCTCCAGGGTGACCAGGCTCTCTTTGCCCAGCGAGGTGATCTGAGCCCTGCAGCGGGGCGGCTCGAGGGCCTGGTTGGTGCTAGCGGTTGCGGTGGAGGAGGAGGAGGACGAAGAGGGAGAGGATGAAGAGCGGAGGTGGATGAACGAGGCTCTGATCAGCTGCTCCGAGGGAAGAGTGTCGAGGTTGTACTGGACTGTGAAGCTGTAGTGGTGGTCTGAAGGAGAAACAAAATCTGTGTTATAAAATCAATTTAAAGTAATTTGTCTATTTAAAAACTCAAATCTGGGTATTTGTTTGTTAAATCCAGTTAAAAAAGACATAATATAGAGCTGGAAGGTGATCAGAGAGTTGACTTTACATGAATATTTCCATTTGAAGCAACTTTCACTACATTTGTCTGACAGCTCTTACTTCCTGTGTACCATGTGTCTCCAAATGTGGTGGTTCTGAATGTGATTATTGTTCAGATTAACTGAAGGATAAAGTGAGAAAAGTCTCTTACTTCTCCAGATAAATAAACTATTTAAAAATTAGCATTAAAACGCATCATCCCAAAGCTGAAAACAGGTCGTTTTCCTCAGAAAAAGTTCTGTTTTAATAGATAAATGTGTCTAAATGTAATATAAATGTCCATTTCTCCACAAACACATGATGACCTGATAGAATAGGATGTATTTCTGTATTTTAAAAACAACCCAACAGCGTATAAATCAGTTAAAATGCAACATTAACCCCCAAAAACATCGTCACAATGAGCACATTTTACCCCTCACCTCCTGCCGCCGGCAGGTAGTGCACCGAGGACGCCGACGGCCTCAGCAGACGGACCGTGTTGGAGCCGAACTTTCGGTGCTGCTTGGGCCGGCCGTCCGGCTCGGCTGCGCTCCGGTACAAACTCAACATGAACTGCAGGTTCTGGTCCGCTTTCTGCGCGTCCGTCAGCGGCCGGTGGTGCGCGCCTCTGTGCCGTGCGCTCGGGTGGCTCCGGCGGCTGCGCTGCGTCAACGCGGGGCGATGGGAGGCCTTTTCCCGGCCGGACGCCACTCCGGTGCAGGTGGAGCAGAACAGGTAGATAAAAGAGGACAGGAGGCAGACACGCAGGAAGCTGTGTGTGGAGCGGGTCGCCCTCATGTTTGTGATAAAAAAAAAAAAAAGAAGAAACCTTCTGGTGCTAGCGAGCTCCACCGACGAGGCCTCGGTTGGCGACCATCCTCCGCGCTGCCGAGGGCGCGATTAACTGGCTCACCTGAGCACCGGACATTTTTGGACATGCCAATCAAGTTCCTGAAGATTGACGGTGACCCCAATTAACTCCTCGGGTGAGCGGGAGCCGCCAATGGTAGGCCGGCGTGAGGAAGTCACGTGATAAAGGTGCGTTAAAGTGGACTTTTTATTTGTTGTTATTCTGGGTTTTTATTATACAAATGATTCTATCTTTTATATAACTGCTCTCACATAATGTTTGCTGACTTATTCTTTTTTAAAATGTGCCATTGTTGATCGATTAGGTCCAAACATTTATATTCATATGTTCTGTTGTGTATTGTTTTGTGTGTTTAATGCTTAAAGCTGTGTGTTTTATTGTGTCCCACTACAGTTTCCTTGGGTATCTACAGACTGTTGAAGTTAACATAGGTTAACTTTAAGGCATTGTACTGCAGGTTGACTCTATGCCATCCACCAGAAGTGAACAAGCCAATAATTAATCTACATTTAAATCAGGTGAAGCAAAGTTAAACAAATAATAATCCAACTATACTATCAGGCAGAAGTAGAATACCTGGATACTGTGTGCTATATGCATCAGGTTCACAGCTGGTTCATAGATTAAAAAGATGGATTTCTGTTTTTGCTAAAGAAAGTAAAAGTTCACACTTAAAAAAAGCACATTAAAAGCAAAATAACATTCTTCACAGTTTTCTGCTGACACACAAAACCTGAATTCTGGATTTAACCCCTGTGTCCATTACAATGGACGTCACATGACAGGGGTTTCTTTTTTACTTTTTGCACCATTTAACACCACTTGAACCCTCAAGTCCATTGAATTGGACGTTTAACAATCAATCAAACGGCAGTAGTAAGGATCATTTTCAACAGTTTCACTCACATTTATAGATATTTGTGCCAAGATTTCATAGTTTTGATATAATATTGAATATTGGAATGAATGAATAGAAGTGTAATATCACATGTTTCAGAGCAAGTTCTTACACAGGATTGTTTCAAATAGGACAGTGGGTCAGAAACCATGTTATTGAACTCAGCTGGCCAGTATTGATGAATGACCTTATTACTATAAAAACTACAGAACAAGAGAACAAGAGAAAGTACAGAACAAGAGAATGAGTTGATAATCAGTTGAAAATATTCCATATGCAGAACAAACAAACAAAAAAGGAAAAGAAAAAGAAAATTAAAAAATTATATTTTAAAACTGTTTGGACCTTACAAAAAAAAACATAATTTGAACTGTTCATGCTCCATGTGATGTCAATGTGACAATTATAAGACAAAAAATAGGTATGATGTTGTCATATGATGTTGGTATTTTAACAACTGTTTGGACCCGATAGAAAAAGAATAACAATTGAAGAGTTTTGATAAAACATTTTTTTTTATTGATTCTCATTTCTGGTTGCATTAAGGATGGGAAAAAGTCATTATTATATTTTTCACAACCTTGGAACAAAAGGGAAACTTTCAGTGTAAGATTTGTAAAAAAAAAAAAGCTTCACTTTGGCGCCATCAGGTGGCAGATTGACGCAGCACAGACTGCACTCAGTTCTCAGTTTGTACATCCTTGATTCCTTTCCTCGCCTCCTCTCCTCACCTCTCTCCCGTCTGAGATGTGAGCGAAGGAGGCGAGGGAGAGACACAAGGAAACAGGTATAAGACGTCTTTGCTTCGGAGTGACACGGCTTCCATAACCTCTCCACTGTCAGACCACTTTCATACGACACAGGTGGCCAAAAGGACTTCTACAAAGGTTCATCCTCACTCGTATCCTCCACGATGGCGCTCTGAGGTCGACTTCTAGGCCACAAAGCAGAAAGATGGAGGAGACAAGGTGGAATAAAATGTTTTAATAGGATTGTTCTACAAACATAAACTTGTGTGATCAAAATAATTTGAGTTTTGTTACATTTTCCACACAATTTGAGAGGTTTTTGTTATAAATATTCTGCTTCTTTATACTTTATACTCATCTCAGAGGGAAATATTGTACTTTTTTTTACATTAATTTGATGCCTTTAGTTACTTTACAGATTCAGATTATTGATACAAAAGATAACCATCAAATACATTAGGATGTATTGTTATGGACATACATAAATATACAGTGAATAGTAAGAAATAAGCCTCTTCTTTACCAGCTGCTACATTAAAGGGACGTATATATTAATGCATCAATAATTATAATTCAATAACATAATACACATTCATCTGAAATGGAATACTTTTTGTACTTTAAGTATATTTTGATACAAATAATTTGGGATATACATACATACAAACTAAAGATCTACCTGTTTACCCTTATTTTTAATTAATCTTTTAGTTCAAATCTAATTTATTGGTTTTATTCTGGTTTTTGTTGCCTGTTAAATTTTATTGTTTTTAAGGCTCTTATTGTTGTTTGTGCTGTAGCTCATGAACTCTATAAGGCACTTTGGGTTTCCTTATCTATGAAATGTGATATATATATATATATAAATAAATAAATCTGAGTGTTTCTACACTGTGGTATAAACACTGAATTAAATTACTTTTCCCGGTCAGTAAATCCACTCTGTTGCAGCACTGTGTGATTCCCCCTCTTTGTCTTTGATACAAAGATCTTGGGTTTGCATTGTGATGTACTTTGACTTTGACTTCGGCTCTGTTTGCAGACGCTGATTGCAGTTTTCTGATACGTTGTTTGTTTGTTCTTGTATAAATTCGTCAAGCCACAGAGAGCTTTGGGATCTTCTGGTGAATGAATTGTTCTTCAGAGCTGGATGGACGGATGACACGCTGTATATATATATATATATATATATATATAAAACCTGCTTCAAAATGAAACAAACGAAAATTAAAGATTTATTTTGTTTTTTTGGTCTTTTAAACTTGATCTCACTCGCTTGCCGCCAAACCAAACATCACAGTTCAGAGTTTCTGAGAGCAGAAAAACAGGGTTGAAAAGGAAACAAGGTTGTCTGATGTGACCAAAACAAAACTCCTCGTGGGCTGGATGAGAAGAAGTGAGCTGTCTGGGCTTGCTCACCTCTGTCTCCCTTTCTCTTTGATTCTCTCCGTCGTCCCTCGTTCTTCTTCTCTCTCTCTCTCTCTCTCGACACACACACACACACACACACACACACACACACACACACACTCACGCAGAGTTAAATGGCACTGCAGCGTGGTGGCATTCCTCAACGGCGATTATCTACGATCCCAATCACTTCAGTCTGCACAGAGGGAGTGTGGGAAAACTTGAAACTACAAGGAGGGGAGGGGGGGGAATGGCTACAGGGGCGTCTGAGAAAGAAACATATTTAAGAAGTTTTAATGACATAAATAAATATATAGATGTCATCTGTTTAAGGAAATAGTTTCGAGAAGATGTGATACTATTAACCACGATACTGTTAGCCTTGTAGTCACTTTATTTTAAAGCTCCAGTGTTTAACATTAAAGAGGATCTAATATAATATTCATTAGTATGTTTTCGGCCCGTTCTCATTCCCAGCTCGTCAAATACAGACGCGAGCTGTGTTCAGTTAGTCGCAATCTGCAACTTTCGCCACTAGATGCCACTAAATCCTACACACTGGGTCCTTTAAATGGCCTAAATGAGCCGTGGAGCCGTTTGTGAGCATGTGAAACAAACCTATAGCTGAATCGACTGTATGAATTAACTATTTTTAAAGGGCTGTACATTGTATTTAAGATTATTTCTTACAGTTTAATCTATTAATACAGTACATTACATGTTTGTATTCATTCACATTCAACTTTTTATTGTACTAGCAGTCCATGAAAGTTATACATAATAGGTGGAAGAGTGAAGATTAAACGTGTAAATACTAGGAAACGTTACATAAAACTAAAACACACTAACACTCAAACAGCTATAGATGAATCATTTATTAATCCTGACTGGGACTGACATTGTTATCTCTTACATGTGTCATGATTTCATACTTTTAAATTAAATTGTGTCGTACAATCAGCTCCATTTGGGATAAAATGAAGAGAATTCACAAAAATACTCGTTTCTAGCTGCTTGTTTAAATGTTTCTTAATATGGTGGTTAGACCATGAGACTGGTACGACTGCTAAAGGGGTCAGAAATGTGTGGGACGTGATAGCAGATGTTGTTGTTGGCCTGCGTTAGTTGTTCATACTGCAGGTCTGCAGAGCTTCAGAGCGGACGTATGAAGGCTTTGACTATATTTGCTTTCACCTTGAAAAATGAGGGAATTAATTTGAGCAGGCAGTTTGTGTGTAGAAGGATTTTGGTTTATGGACAGTGAGAGAATTTGCGTCTTTGGTGTAAAATCCAACTAAAATGTACTAAAATGTGTGTATTAATGTGTATGTATCACAGCTAATGTCAGCCGCTTTATATACTGCTGGGTATAGCTTAAATCTATAATAATATACACAGTATCATCATTTATTAGTTAATTATTTTGTGTTAAACATCTGAATATGAAAAGTAACCAGTAACTAACGCTGTGAAACACATGTAGAGGAGTAAAAAGTAGAATATTTGCCTCCAAAATGTAGTGAAGTATAAATATTTAGTGGTGTAAAAATAGAAATACCCATGTAAAGTATGTTAAAACTGAACTTAAGTACAGTACTTACATCCCACCATTGCTTTTAATAAGCTTATTGGTAAGTTAAATCTGTAGCAATTCAACAATTTATAATGTATACTGTAAAAACTTAACAGCATACCTACATAAAAGAAGTAAGTTGTAAGATCACTACAAAAAAATGTAATATAATGTTTAATTTTTGTTTTTATTTCCGTTTATAAATCATCATAATATCCGAGTATGCATCAATTCCTAAAGTGTAAAGATTTTAGTCACATAAAAACAAGTTAGAGCCGTAAGAAGTCAATTCTTTTAAGCCATTTAAGTTAATAAACTTTAAAGTTTGAGTTGAACTCGCTCACCAGGTTTTTACAGCGTAATAATCTTTAAAGTTTACTAAGTAGGCTAGTGGATGTATCGAGTAATATCAAGTGAAAATATTACGTTATAACAACAACAAGTGCCTTAAAAACTGTATTTATATGCTGACTTATACTTTCCACCAAATACAGTGTAGTGTAGTAGCCAAAATAATACACAATTCCTGTCGGGATTTGTAGTTTTTTGCTGTCATATTTATTCAACAGCCTTCTAAATATTATTGTGCACCACAAAAATTGCTGGTTTTCAAATTAAAGGCGCAACCACACACTTCTGATATGGTTAATTTGGCTGTGAGCCTGCCTGGTGTTATTGCAATACAGCGGTTGTTTGCAACGTGTAGCCCCGCCCACTCCTCGCGTTCCTATTGGTCACAGTCAGCCAGAGCCTCTCTCCCTATTGGCGGACCTCTCTGTCAATCACATCCCCGCCTTTCGGAATAGTGGGCGGGGCCGCCTAAACACGCTATTCCCAAAGTTTTCCCGAAGTTTAGGAGCTGCGTCAAAGTAGCCAACGTAACCGGAAACACACGGGCTGCATTTCAAAATAAAAGGGTAATATTTGGTCATTCTGGGGGGAATAAGCGGGTTATAAGTAAAAATATATATATATATATGAAACGAAACAACCGGTAAGATCGTGTGATACGCGTTTAGTGTAAAACACGCTAACGTCTACTTTTAGCCACCGTTCAAAACTCCTTGACCGGAAGTCGCGACCGCCATGTCGGCTACGACCGTAACTCGCTTGACGCCAGCTCAAAACTTTTCCTCCCTCCCCCTCTCTCTCTCTCTCTCTCTCTCTTCCACTCACTCCTTCCTTCCACCCCTCCATCCATCCACTCGTTGTTGTTGTGAGAGCGGGTGATGGAGAAGCCCGCCACCGGCACCGCTAACCAAGCGAACGAGAGAAAAAGGTGAAGAGACATTTTTTATTTTTAACAAAATAAAATCCCCCCCCACCAACGGATAAAAAACGGGAGCGGAAAGGAACGTGAGGGAATAGAATGGAGACGGTTGAGCAGCTCGTGTCCTTCCACCGCATTCAGGTCCAGTTGAGCGGGGGCGCGCCTTGGGGGTTCACGCTGAAAGGCGGGCTCGAGCACGGCGAGCCGCTCATCATCACCAAGGTAAACTTCTAACTGACATAAATAATCAATAACTCGATATATATGCCAATAACTCGATATATATGCCAATAAATCGATATATATGCGGGTTTTATGCGCGTATTGTCAAGTAAATTAGCTAAAACTTGCTTAAAAGTGCCTACAGCTGCTTTATTTTCATTTATTTTTCACGTTTTTTTTTTTTTTTCTATATGTTTAATATATTTGTTGTTGTTGTTTTTTTTTTTGTGGGGGGTTTAAGTTGTATTTGCACAGTATCACACTCAGGCTGACTTTAAGGAATTTTTGTTTCATGCAAAACCACCAAAACAGCATTTGTGGTCAGGTTGTTTTTTTGTGTTTTTCAGTCTGCTTGGTTTCAACTTTTCAACCCAAAGCTTTCAAAAAAATGAGGGTTAAAAACAAACAAAAAAAGGGGATATACCCACTTACATTGAGTGTACCCACTTCTAAAATCCCATTCATCCTTTTTATGAGTGGATGGAGGAAGGAATGAGGAATATACGTCTATTAAAATGCACAATTATGTAGTTTCTTACTCGTACGCGGGCAAAATCTGCACCTCCTCCTCTTGTGGCTAAATGTTAATTTAGTGGTAGTTAAGGGATATTGTGCAGATGCTACTGGCCCACATGTCACTGTTTATAACATATAATGTGGGGCAGTACACCCACGTCTCCAGGTACCACTACATCGCTTTGTTTTAACGTCTTCTTCTTCCTCTTCTTCTGCAGAGAATACAGAAAGTTATTGCCTGAAGCTGATGTTGATGTTCACTGTCTACTAATAAAAAAGCCTCTGTTTAATGTAATGCAGCAGGTTTTGGGGGTTCAGGTCAAAGGGTTTCACCCCACCCCCGCCCCAAACAGGGGTGGTAAAAGGGGTTCCCGAGGCTCTGTTCACCTCCCTGTCACTTCATTCATCCAGAGGGGTAAAAAAAAAGTGCTGACAGACGATTAAAACCAGTTCAGGTGGCAGAAACGTGCCCTCTTTTTTTTTTTGGTTAGGTATTGCAGAAACCAAGAGGTATGACACCGAGTGTTCAGGTGTGTTTCTGGGGGGGGTTGGTGAGATTTGGACGTGACCTCGTCTTGTGCGATAAAGTCCCGGGGGGGGCAGACGTTTTTTCCACCCCTTCTCACGGTTTCAGGCCGCGGGCGGTGGAGCTCCTGGAAGAAAAGGAGGGTGCCCTTTCTGAATTACTGCAAGTAATTATTGGTGTGTGTTCTGCTGGGGGTGGTCTGTCTGTCTGTCTGTCTGTCTGTCTGTCTGTCTGTCTGTTGTGTGTGTTCATAAGTAGGCCGTTGGACCATGCAACCTCTGCTCTCTCTCTCTCTGTCTGTCTTTCCCTTCCCTAGTCTCTCGCCCACTCTTGTTCGAAAAAAAGTGGCCGCATCGGTGGTGTAAATGTTGGCCGGCCCCGCTGCTTATATTCGCCACAGCACCACAGCGGGGGCAATGGAAAAGCCAGGCTCAGTCATCTGGAAACAACACACACACACACACACACACACACACACACACACACACACGCTTACTGACACACACTTAAGTCACACAGCCCCTGGGAAAATGTGACTGGGACTGCTAAAGGAGATAAAAATCAAAAACTGTGCTCTGTGGCTGTTTTGTGTCCAGTGGCTGGTTAAAACACACACACACACACACACACACACACACACACACACACACACACACACACACACACAGAGAGAGAGAGAGAGACTGAAACACACTCACAGTAAAGTAGCTGAGGCGGTGAGTGCTGCACGGCGGGGGGAAACTGTGGTGCAGAAAAGTGTTTAATGATTAAGTGTTAAGTCCTTGGAAGGAAGGAAGGAGGAGAAAGAGAGGAACATTAGAGAGGGAAGGTAACGTCGAGGTGTGTTTTAGCTTCAGCGAAGGGCCCGGAGAGAGTTTTCCATCGGCCTCCACACACTGAAGGTTTACTGTGTCTGTATGGACCACGGCTGAACACAGTCATAAGAGAGAGAGAGAGAGAGAGGAATCAGCATGAACTCTTTTAAAACCTATAAGGAGTCTTTATTTACGCCACCTGGAAGCATGAATGCAGAAGTGAAACGGCTTTATTTTGAAATTCTTGCATTATTTTCGCACATGCACGAGTTTTAAGGCAGAAGAGTGTCACAGTATCACTTTTTGGGGCCAGTGCTGAAATCAATTAATCATTTAAGCTTCGTATCAAGCAAAAAAGCCCCAAATTAGCTCCTCAAATGTGTGGATTTGCTGCCTTTCTTCATTATAAATAGAAAATGTTTTAATTTTTTGGACATTTTTGGACAAAACGAGACATTTGATGACATTTTATACCCCCCTCCATCCATTTTCTGCCACTTATCCAGATCTGGGCAGTAGCTCGTACCCTCGTTGCCCCGACCTCTGGTTCTTCTGTAAAAGGGGGGGGGGTTCAGAAAGCGTTCAGAGCGCGTCTCACAGATTTACATCAGGTTTATTAGATTGTTAAAGTGCATTATGGGAAGGGTTTGTTGCACCATTTATCACCTTCAAGTGTGTTTGAACGAGTCAGTCTTCTGCGGTTTTGTCGGGGCAGTCGTGGACTATGAGTGTGCATTAATAAATAAAAAAAAGTGCCCCCCCCCCCTTTTCCAGGATGCTTTTTGAAAGCATGTTCGCTGCTGCTGTAGGAGGGGGAAGGGTGGCTTCAAGAGTCGGAGAGACAGCGGAGGGATATAAGCCATTTGGTCAACATTCCTCCAAGACCATAACAAATTACCACTGTGGAGAGTGTGTGTGTGTGTGTGTGTGTGTGTGTGTGTGTGTGTGTGTGTGTGTGTAGCTCGGCTCTGAATGCTGCTTTCCTTGCGGCCAGCGATCAGCTGTGTGATGACACGGCGAGTTTAAAGGTTTTTTTTTTTTTTTTTTATCTGTTCAAAGTCAGCCATTAGCTTTGTCGTCACTCAGCCACTTAAGTGAGTCAGCCTGTCGGTTGTGGGCCGACTTATATCAGCTCGCGGCTTAAACGCGCTTAGGTTGAACGTACGTGCGGTGGCGTGGCGTGCACACATCATCCATATCTGTATGTCAAAGAAACAGCACTGAGAGAAGCACTATTAGCTTATTTATTCTTCTATTTTTTTTAAGTTTTCATGTTTGTCACCTGTGTCCTCTCAAAGTTACAGATTGCAACTAACTCACTAAAACATGGCGAGTCAACACGGTGGACGCTATGGAAGACAAACTGCGGCGTCTGTAGATAAAATGCGTCTCGTTCTAAGGTAACAAACTGCGGCGTCTGTAGATAAAATGCGTCTCGTTCTAAGGTAACAGTTTCTATATTTAGGTCATTAAACACTAATTAAAACATACCTATGGATATTATATTCAATTACTGCCGATAGATCCTCCTGAAATGTTACGCACTGGACCTTTAATCCACATTAAACTCACATTTTATTGTAAAATCCCAGAAAACCATCCACACTCGCTCTCAAAAAGATGATTTAAACTGAATAAAAGTAGATTGAATTGAATAAAAACACATAAATACAAACAAACATGAACTTTATGTGCATGTTGGATGCCTGGGCTTGACCTCGGTGTATGTTTACAGACTTAAAAACTATGTTTTTGGTTGTAATTCATCACTTAAACCTCCACCAGTTGTCATTCCCATGTGCTTTTTTTATATGTCCTTTTGTCAAATGTGGTTCGTGATGACTAAGTGGTGAGTTTCTTTCATTGTTGTGTTTGACAGAGCAGCTGCTGTTGAGCTGTCAGCTCACTTTCATATGTGGTTTTATGATCTACTGTGAGCTCCCCGGCCGATTTCTGCTGGGGGGGGCGAAGACATGTTTTCTGTGAGTTCGTGTCTGCTGGTTGGCTGCGCTCCCTGACTTCAGGGCGGTGTTTCCCATGGGACAGTTCGGAGTCCGTCTTCGCCTTAAAACCTCCAAAGATGGGCGCTGTTATAATTCATTGGCTGGTTTAGTTTATTTGAATGCTGTTAATTTAAGAATCAGTTAAATCGTATAATGTTTTTAACACAGAAACGGTTGTTTTGATGGATCCCAGTTGCTTGTGTGAACTCTCTGGACTCTCGTGTGTTTCCCACCAGACCTCTGCAGACCCCGTCTGCTATCTAAATGAGCATCAGACTCTACATGTTGTACTAGAGTCTGTCTGAGTGGTCTGACGCAGAGCCTCACTGGTGCACAGCCTTCATTATCGTTCATTATCGTCATTATTTCCATGGCGTGTGTGTGTCTGTGTGTATGTTTTGGAGGCACAGTAGTTGTTGTTACCTCCTATGAAGAGATTTTATACCAAAAGATGTCTTTTATAAGTTATATTAGTAGATATCAAAGAGAAAGAGAGGCTTCATTAGACTTAAACTGCACCGTCTACCTTACAGCTCATTACTTGTATGTCAGATTCAAACCAATATGGTGTGCATTCACTTTCCACCTGAGGAAACCGGTCCAGTACTCGGAGAGAAAGAGAGAGAGAGAGAGAGAGAGTATTAACCGACCCACTATCTTGGTTACCACTGGCTGAGCGCTAAGCGGTCCATTTTCTTTGTGGTCCACATGCTTTACAAAGCTGGATTCAGTCAGCCCACCAAACAATCAGCCCATCTCCCAGGCTGCCCCGACCACCGAAACCAACAGCGAACTGCTGACCGACGACGGGAGGTAACTCCGACTGGGCTCCTTGTTGGGTTGTGGGTTGCGAACGAGGTGAAGGGAAACGACGCTGCTGGAAAGTTTTGTGGGTTTAGTTTCCCCAAAGGTACAATTCATGTATCCTGTGTATGAACTCCTTCTTTCTGGTGTCTGTTTTTGGTGAATCATGATGTTCTCATTCAGCCCCTTCAGGATTTAGTTGCAGCCAGAAATGCCTGATTTCACAACAACTTCTCTAAAGAATTGTGATGTTTTTAGGCATTTTTTTTTTTGCAGGATTTTGACATTTGGCTGTAAAGTTCACCGACCGACTGCTATCATTGGTTTAAAGTCGCC